TAGCTTTCGTTTGATATGCATAAAGCCATAGTTACAACATTTTCATTTTTGGAGGTCATTTAGGTCATTAGAGGTCGTAAGAGGTCATTAGAAGGTCAAACACTGGATTTGTTGCTGCTACTGGATTCCTTGGGTTCCCAGCTTTCGTTTGATATGCATTAAGCCATAGTTGAAATATTTTCTATTTGTGGAGGTCATTAGAGGTCATTAGAGGTCATTAGAGGTCATTAAAGTTCAATTTTATTTTATTATAGGAATTTCGAACCCTAATTAGGCGTGCACCCAAAAAATTGGAAGATTTGAACCAAAAATGAAGGCAGGGCCCCCCCCCCCTACATCAAATGTGCCAACTCCACCATCCCCTTTAAAAATTAAATTGTTCTGACTGAGCATTGACCTTTCCAAATGTCATGTGTGAGACAATTAACGTTTTTTTTGTTGATATAAACAAGCTAGCAAACAGTACAGACTGAAATATATATGCGGTTGTCATCGTTTATATCAATGTAACGAAGACGACTTTCAATTTTGATTTCCATCAAGCTTTTAAAGAGTATAGACACGCAAACAAGTACACAAAGAGAAGTTGTCAATTAACAGTCCTCGTTGTTTACATGTAAACTTTCAAATTGATAAACGATTGTCAGGGATCAAAGCATTATTTATAAGAAGCCGTTATCATTGTATTGATATAAGTGCCAACCGCTATATATAAATTGTAGTACCCTTATTAGTAAGTAATAACCTAATATGTATGAACAATTTGAACAAATTACTTTACAGAATAATTTAGATCTTAAAAGAAATTATAGAAACAGATATTTCATTTTTTTCTCAAAAAATAAAAATTTGTTTTCGTCTAGATATTATGATTACCGGGAGCTTGAAGCAGCAGGCTTGAAATATTCAAAAATCATGACGATGGGGCACAGTATACCGAACCATGGAGTTATTCAACAATTCTTTAAATCTGTCAATTCTTTTCTGGCAGAGGATCCTTCCAAGCTCATAGGTTGTATTCTTTTTCATTATTTTTTAGTATTTATTATTTGTTTTTTATTTATTTCGCTACAAAGTCATTTAAAGGAAAGAAAATCAATAGATCACACTAGATATTTACGTACACACTACACATCATAAGAATATCTGGAATATTAACCAGAGAAAGAGGACACTTTGGAGGCTGGGTTACCCTAAAATTATTTTATTAGACGATCCAAAATCCAAGTAAACCCCTAAAACCTGATCCAGAATTCATTTTAAAAAGTTTTTATGAAGTTTAATGGTGGTTTAATGTGATTAAGAAGGAGAAAATGAATATTTGTAGGATTATCACATGTCCGGGCAGGAAAAGACCATCAAGACCCAAAAATGGTCAACATATTGCAAATTGTTTAAAACATATTAACAAGGGTTCAGGAAGTATGTTTGCCAGACAGCTTGATCAGGGGAAGCCGTAGTAAATTTGAATTTCCGAGCCGGGTCAATCTTTCCGGTCCCAGTTTGTACATTTACATTGGGTAAATAATGCAGACACTCAATAGGACTAGCCGGTGCAACAAGGTTGACGCGGTCAGACTTTAGGTTGAAATTACTTTTACTAGAGGTTCAGGGGTGCGTGTGGTAATATGCTTTTACAAGCAAGATTTAAAAATGGCAAAGATCTGGGTTAAAATTGCCCCAAAGTCTCTGACATACGACCAAAGGGATGACGTTGAATATGTATATCAAATGTAAATTTAAATCAGAAAAATCCTCACAAGTCCTTCCAACAATCAATCTCTCTTTAACATTACAACAAAGATCTGATTAACTTCAACTGATCTGAAAAATAATCCTGTATATAAAGTGAACTTGAAAAAAAAATAACGGAGCTGAGACTTCTTATAAACTATTATTTTAAATAATAATGAAATTAATACCTTCCATGATAATGACTAATATTAAACTAACGCTTAGGTTAAATTTAACCCTTGAAATCCATTGTTAATCTTTTTTCTTAAATTTAACAACAATACCATATTTTTTATTAGTTCTTTATCAAGTTCAATCAAAAAGGTTTTCAAATATCCTCACTACAGGGAGTTTCATAAAGGAAACTAAAAATATAATTTGTGCATACTTGAACTTGTCGATTAAATTATTTTATGGGACACCCTGTATTATATTGTATCTAGGTATATGGTTGAAGTGCTGGGTATTCAACCTGAAGATGCTATTAAGGAGTTTAACGAGGCCAGGGGGCATACACAGGAACAATTTTAAACAGTTGTGTCCATACTAAACTTTTCTTTACATTCCTCATAATTACACTCATTGGTTGAATATCCATTTTATTGATAAAAAGAAATAATTGAGGAAAAACTAAAATTTTTGGAAATAAATATCCAAATCCTATTTTATTTTTTATTTATGAAGGATATTTTTAATCATTTCTGATTTATAATTGGCCGCTCAGGAGAGAGAAAACTATCTTCAGCATCTAAGGTTAGAATTCTAGCCTCCTACCCTCACTCTAAAAACCTCTCTTACTCTATGAACCCCCCCCCCCCTCAACTCTTGGTACCCTAGCCCCGCCCCTTTCTCTTAGAACCATACCCCCGCCCCTCACTCTTAGAACCCCAGCTCCGCCCCTTAATCTTAGAACCAAAGTCCCTCCCTTCACTTTTACAAAAAAAACTTTGAAATTGTTTAATGATTTTTCAATTGCTTTGCTTAAACTCAACCACTATTGTAAAATTAAGGGGGTTTTACCAAATTCTCATCAGATGAGATTTAAGACAAGAAGAAGAAAAAGAAGAAGTAAATAAATACTTCTTCACGGAAGGATATTATTTTTTCTTTAAGATACCAAATTAAGGGAACGAGGATGGGAGAATGAAGATAAAATGGATGAACAGAATAAAGAAACATGGGATAAGAAGGAAGAGAACAGAGCAGACCATGGTGTGAAAGTAGATGACAGAAAGGAGGAATTGAATCAAGGAAATAAGAAAAATAAGAAGAAAAATCGGTGGAAAAACAAGGGTAAAGAACGAAGTGGGGAGGGACCGGGAGGGCAGGAGACTGAGAGGAATTCTAGACATGGAGACAGAGACCGACACTATTCAAGCGATAGAGGTCTTCATAGAGGCGCAGAGAGATATCCTAGTGATAGAGGTCATTATAGAGGCGCAGAGAGATATCCTAGTGATAGAGGTCATTATAGAGGCGCAGAGAGATATCCTAGTGATAGAGGTCATTATAGAGGCGCAGAGAGATATCCTAGTGATAGAGGTCATTATAGAGGCGCAGAGAGATATCCTAGTGATAGAGGTCATTATCGAGGCGCAGAGCAATATCCTAGTGATCGAGGTCATCATAGAGGCGCAGAGCGTTATCCTAGAGAAACAGGCGTATATCATAGAGTAGGTGGAGAATATCTTAGTGGAAGGGGGCAATATCCTAGAAGTGACCGAGAATATCCTAGAGAAGAAAGAAGATATGCTGGAAATGATAGAAGATACCCAAGAGATGAAGCAAGAACTTCACAAGGAAATCCTGCTGGATACGAAGCCTATAGATATTCAGCACGAGGGAGAGGTGGATATCCAGGGTTTGAACCCTATGGATACGGTGGAGAGAGAAGAGGTCGTGGAGAATATCCCAGATATCAATCCTACGGATACAACAGGGAATCAAGCGGAGGGCAAACTGACCAAAGTCACAGCCAAGTAGTGAATTGGTTTAAAGATTAAACTAAATAAAGTTGCACACGGCATCTCAACTCAACTAAAAAAAAGTTCTTCATTAAAAGGATGAAAGGGTACTATTGTGAATCTAACAAATAATAGAGGGTGATTTGATATTAAGTCTCAGTCTGAATCAATTGGGTTAAAAAGCTTGCAGAATTTCAAAGTTCATTGAATTTTACTTCAGTGTAAAGGGTTTGGGACTGCGCGGGTCAAAAGAAATTTTTTAGGTTTATGGGGCGTTTTTAAAAAAGCAAAAAAAAATATTTTGACATTCCTAAGTTTATTACGTTATTTCATAAAAACCATAGTGCAGTCCTTCAATTATCATTCAGGGAAATTTTAATCTTTCTTAACATCCCAGGGAACTATTTGCTGGGTTCTTTTTAGCTTATTTTAGCTCAGAAAAAGGTTTAAGGGTGCTGTTGTGAATTGAGAATGCTTCACTTTAAGATGGTATTTTATTTTAAAATATGTCAACAGTCCCTTTATGGCGAATTTAAAAATTAAAAGTATCTCTAATCTTGAAACATTTATTAGAATTGCATAATATTATTTTTGTCGATGAGATATGAAATTTTCTAGATGTGCCATGTGGTGCTGACAATTTACTTATGAATTCCCGTTATTTTTATATTTTTTCAGACTTATGTTAATGAATGTCCGGTCATGGTGGCCAGCCCTTCCCCTTGTCAAAACTGGCATTTATGTACGTTAAGAAGGTGGCACAACCGATAGCATCAAGGTTTGTAATATTATTATTTTTATCATTTTTATTGTTATTGTTATTGACATTGGTTATGTTTTTGTAATTCTTGTTCTTATTCTTATTCTTATTCTTATTCTTGTTCTTGTTCTTGTTCTTGTTCTTGTTCTTGTTCTTATTATTATTCTTATTCTTATTCTTGTTTTTGTTCTTGTTCTTGTTCTTGTTCTTGTTCTTGTTCTTGTTCTTGTTCTTGTTCTTGTTCTTGTTCTTGTTCTCGTTCTCGTTCTCGTTCTCGTTCTCGTTCTCGTTCTCGTTCTCGTTCTCGTTCTCGTTCTCGTTCTCGTTCTCGTCCTTGTTCTTGTTCTTGTTCTTGTCGGTGTCCTTTTTGTTAATATTTTTAATATTAGGGAGTTACCGGCAATATATGGTAGTTGAACTGAGAATGTAGTGTTGCGGAGAATTTTTTTAGGATTCATTTGAGACATGGAAAAACGTTTTAATAATGTATAATTACTGAGTTTGACGAAAAATGTATCAAAATTTCTACAAGTAAACTAATTAGTAGGAACATTTTTCTCAATAGAAATTTGTCAACAAATCAATGTTAGAATCAATTATTTCTTTTTCATTCTTATATTGAATTTCGTATTCTTTACGAAATTGTTCGCAGATTTCTACAAATTCTTCAAATGTCGTCTTTTCATTAAAAATTCCAGAAAATCTACTGAAAATTTTTGAACAGTGAGACATTACAAAAACCAATAATTAAATATGATTACTTACTTTTGATGATAACAGTTAATTTTATTTTCTCAACTTGTTCCTAAACAACTAATTAGTTTACCGTAAAATTTTTGTCACAGTTTTGTCGTTGTTATTTAATAATTTTCAAAAATCGATTCTCAACATAACCACCCAAATAGATGATTTCGAAAGTCGATTTTGCGCTCAAACTCAGTATTTATACATAATTAAAACTTTTTCTATTTATCAAATGAATCCTAAAAAATTTCTTCACAATACATTGCATCTACCATATATTGCAGGTCACTCCCTCTAATATTATGATTATGATCATATTAATGTTGTAGGATAGCTAGAAAGGCGGAGAAAGATAATTGGTTTAAGACTTATATCTGCCTCCCTCCGGCGAATCTTTATCATTTCTACGAAGCGAAAATCAAGTTTAAAGTCATGAATATAGGAACGGAGTGGGTTTTGATAAATGTTAGTTTAATTTATAAAATGTTTACTATCGTAAACTGAGTTTAATTTAAGATTTCTTATTTTCCTCCAAGCGGCGCCTAAAATTTTCCATGTTGTCAGTTTGATAATTACAACGATTTTTTAATTAAGCAAAATTTACTAATCATTGTACGATGTACAGTAAACTGTACACGGTACACTGATTTTGTAACCCCACTCTGAACCTTTAAGGGCGAACTAGAATCAGTAAGGTTCCAAAACTTAATGAAAAGGCAGCAATAGAGCTAGGTATTTATATTTAAATATTTGTAATTCAGTCATGGTAGCTTTTGTACATTTATAGATAAAGTAGATACAGGGTGTTCCAATAAACATGGAAAATACGAGACTTATTGATAATATCTTCGATTTCCGATATTTGTTAAATGACTAAGTGTGTATCGAATGAAGACTGAACGTAATATGAGATTTTGTAAATGTTTTCAAAATTAACGAAGATATTTAATATTTGAAAGATTTCGTTCTGGACAGATTTCTTAAAATCTCCATCAATTTTGAAGGTGCTAAGATAGTAAATCATTTTTCGGAAATCCCTAGACTAAAAGTTTTAATTGAATTATTAAAAAAAATTGTTTTCACAGTAAAAAACGACGATTGATAAGTCGTAACTTAATTCCCATAATTATTGGGACACATGTATAAACATATATATATATATACATGGTGTCCCAATAATTATAGGAATTAAGTTATATAAATAATAATATCCCGCCCAACCCCGAAAACTTTCAAAGGCCGCCCTTGTCCCAGAAATACATAATTTACACTGTACATTTCACTCTGAGATTGGCCGTGGGTGTAGGACGTCCCCAACAGCCTAGGCACAGAAATAATCCAGTTTTAGCCTACAAGGAACCCCGAATGCAAGAAAATTGTCTTAACAAATTTCGTTCGATCGTCTCTGAAGTCTCATCCCTTGTTCGTAAACCTGTACATTGCACATTGTGTATAGTAAGTTACATCAAATTAGATATTTTTCTGGACTTTTTGTTTTCAGGTTCAAATCTGTGTGCTGAGTTTATAATAATGAGTGTAGCATCTATACTTGCACTGCACGAAGTCAGGAACGGATATTAAACAATTTTACGAAATTATGTTAAGAGGATCAGTGAACACTTTAAATGATTCTATATTCAGAGAATCGATGCAAACTTGAAATTATTCTACATGAGATTCAGTGTACACTTTAAATAATTTTATCATATGGTAGGGCGGGCTGCATCATTTGTGTCTCCCTTTTATTCCATACTCTTGTACCGTTGTGATCCGGGCATTTTCATAGTAGGTTTATGAAATTATATAGACATTCCCTTTTATCACATAATAAATAAGATAACTAAACATTATAAAACGGTTTTATTTGTGTGTTGAGGAAATACAAGGCCCGGGAGATTGAGGTTGAGGAGAGATTAAACAAGGAGACCAAGGATCTCAGGGATATATTTATCTCATGAAATATTTCCCCCCTTTTTATATTTTTACTTTTAAAAAAATGATTATTTTTCTCCAAGAAAATTGCGCTCTGTCCAAAATAATACGCTTGAGGGGGAATGGTTTTTGGAGAATGGGGAAGAAGAATTTTTGAAGAAAACGTATATTATTGAAAATCTTTTGGTAATAATTAAGTTTGATTAGAACCACAATAAATGTCACGTTTTATCGCAGACATTGGGCAGACATCGGTTTAGTTTTCTCTCTGAACAGTGTTCTACCATGGTCCCACACTGGTCCTTGCACAAGGTTGATTAATATTAAGATTTTATCATGAGATGTATTTTATCCAGGGAGAATATAGAATCCTTGAACCGTATTATCCAGACTCAGAACCAGGATATAGAAACCTTATCCAACCTTATATATAGATATAGGAACCAATACTCTCATGCTGGTGATATAGAAGAGGATTCAACTAGGACTCATGGGTCATGATCTCCTAGGTTTAATTCATCTCTCCACGTGTTTCAACTTAATTCTCATTTTTGTGTCTTTAAAAATTAAGGTCTGATTTAAAAGTGAAATGTGAAAGTTGAAGTTTAGTTTGTAGGAAACTACAAAAATAAAATATTCTTTTTATAACATCATATTTGTTGCATAAGTCGTCAAAGAAGTTTTTCCTGCACAATTTTCTTTACTTTTATCATACATTTCTTCCCTTTTTCTGGAATTAAGCCCTACACTTGCAAAAGTTTCTGGAAATCCTGTACTTAGTTATATTGATTCTGACAATTCTAAAATTTAGTGTTTTTTGGATTCCGGAGAAGATGCTACAACCAATATTTCTTTACAGCTTGTTACTTGTCTTATGCATTAAGAAAAATGTCAATTTGTACATTTGTCTTACATGTTATACACAGAATGAACAACATTACTTATGATTTTTTTTATTTAAAGATAAACATGAATGTTAAAAAATAAAATTATTTAATCCAACTATACGGTGCTCAATCTGTGTTTAGTCTACTCTAGTGTTACATGAATTTATAGTTTATTTATTTCAGAATATTCATGCAATGCTAGTCACCAGGTCTATCCTTAGCAACACCACTGTTGTAAAATGTGATCACGGTCCCCTCAAACATGAATGTAACATTCACAAATCAATTTGTTCAAGCGCAGGCTCCAGGTGGGGGTCAACCTGTGCTTCAACAGCCTCAGGGTCATCTCAGATCACCTCAGGGTCAGCATGGACAAATCTTTTCTCAAGCTCCAAAGCAGAACCAGTACGTATTTACTCAACCTCAAGGACAGACCATTATTGCTCCCTCTCAAGTCCGCCCAATTTCAGCAAATGCTCAAGAACAAATTTTATTTGCTCAAGAAGGACTAAAAAATTCCGTCTTATTCCAATCTGCAGAGCAACCCCAACTCCAATACATTTCAACACAAGGTTACAACCAATCAGTTTTCCAAGTCCAAGGACAAGATCCCAATCACCCCGTCTTTGTTCAAACCCAAGGACATGATCCAAAACAACCATTCTTTGTCCAAAACCAAGGGCATAATCAAAATCAACCCGTCTTTGTTCAAACCCAAGGACATGATCCAAAACACCCATTCTTTGTCCAAAACCAAGGGCATAATCAAAATCAACCCGTCTTTGTTCAAACCCAAGGACGTAATCCCAATCAACCTGTCCTTGATCAATCTCAAGGATATGTTGGTCCCATTTTTGATCCATCACAAAGACAATACATACAAGGACAAAGAAATATGGACATTGACATTGCTCAAAATAAAAACTGTTACAGTCAGTATTCATCTTTATCTCCATTCCAGCATATTTCCTATCTTCCCAATCAACATATTGCTCAAGATGGTGGAGTTGTTAGCGGACAGGCACCAATCCCTGGTCCTAAAATGGTTAACACCTCCCATTCCAACATGTTACAGAACTCAGCCTTGCAACCATACACTTACCAGTCTGAAGACTTCACAGGCAAAATTGCCGAGGTAAATTCAAATTCAGAATCTGGCATAGCTGACCATAGTTCACATGAAGTTAAGGGAACAGGTGTCCTGGTATCTTCATCTTCAAATAATTCTCAATATCAGATTTTTTATCAGAATCCTGGCACAGTACAATTTGCTCCGGAGAATCAATCCTTTCCAAACCTGATTCAGAAGAACCATGATCCTCTTAGTCATTCCATTTCCTCATCTGCGGTGCCATCTCTAACCCAAAGTTATCTATCAGTGTCTCACCACGCATCCCAGTTAAATGTTGAGTCTAACTATACCCAGAGCCAGGTTCAAACTGTTCCAATACAGCATCATTCTTCTAACTCCTACCAACCTTCAGTCTCTAGTTCAAATCCTGTAAATAAAACTGGTACTAGTACAGATAATTTTCAAACCAGAGCTAAACTGTATACACATGTAGCCATCCAAAACTCTTTGCAACAAACCTCTTACAATGGAGCTCTCTATCCATCCAATCCTTTTAATGCTCCAGGAGTCGGGCATAAATATCATTTGGAACAGGGTCAATCTTTGCGTGAAGCTCAATGCAGTTCCAGTGGGGAGTTGAACCCTGAGACCTCTTTGTCTTATGAGAGAACCTATTCTTTACCTCAATATGTTCCAGCTCATAATTCTCTGGTTTCAGCTCAGGTATCGACTCTTCCCTTTTCCAATCCTGATCCAAGTTCTCCCAGGCTACAAAGTTATGTGGATATCAATCATCCTCTTCTTCCAAGCTATATTTTAAATCAACCTAAATCATCTGATACTCAGCAGTTGTCTCTAACTCCAACGCCCAGTGATAATCAAGTACCTGTCAATCAATCAATCAACGACTCCCATGAGGATTCTGAAGCATACTCTGCTGAGGAGTCCCCAGGCTACCAATCTGAAGACTCAGGTCCAGTCTCTGAATTACCTGATGAAAAGGATGATAACGAAACAGAAGGGATTCCCTACCCTTCTCAAGATGTCATTGAACCTTCTTCGCCTTCCAGTCTCAGAAGAGCATTTGAAGAAAGATCCCAAAGCTATTTCATGTCAGAACATCAAGAAGGGCATTATTCTCTTGCTTCTTCATCAAGAAATCCATCCGAAGAATCTGATCTTGTTGATGCTGATAACGCAAATACCATTCATGCTAACACTGGCAATGACCAAGAAGCTGCTTCAAGCAATCTTCAAGAACCCAACACTACTCAAGAAGTTGTCTCCGAAAATATCCAGCAACGTGGATCAGACAATTTACCTGAAATTCCAATCCAAAGTGCTGTCATGGATATTCCTGATCTCAGACAAGAGTTTCTTAACAACCAGATGCTGCCTCTACCTGGACAAGTAAGTTTCTGAACCTAAAAGTAACTTTAACTTGTAGAGATTGAAATGTAAGTTTAGAGGGAGAGGGATGTGAAAAAGATAAAAAAAAAACTAAAATATGCAAATTATTAACTTTATATTTCAGTTTGTTGTTCTGCCACCTCTAACAGAAGACCGTAGTATTCAAACTATCCAGCTTCTCACACCTACACAACAAGGAAATTAGCTAAATCTAAACAATTCTCTTATTTACATTTTAAAAGTTAATTTCGTTTAGTTAAAGTGACTGTAATTGTCAATTAAGTCGACCCTCTATTTAAAAAAAGAGAGGCATGCTTTAACCACAATGGTCCCCACTCCCCATGAAACCTTTATATATCTGATAAATTATGGAAAACTGTTTAATTCTGATATTTTTCTTTCGTTTCTGAAGCAAGAAATGCGAAGATAATCAACTCTTATAAACATCAACATTTGAAATGGATATCTATTTATTACTTGACCAGACAAAAGGGTGCCATTGTGAATCGGACAAGCCTCTCTATCAATTTAGAGGATCCCATTAAATTAATTCAAAAAATTATTATCATGTTTTAGATAATGAGCTATCTCTAATTCTAGGACAGTTCTCTGTACAAACTATAGTGTTACCAATCATGAAGTTAAATCAAACTTCCTCTACTCCAACCCTGAAACCGTCCTATCCTTCTCCGGTTTTACCATCTCCTTCCTCCAACCCTTCTTCCTCAGATACACCTGTACCTGTCTCCTGCCAGACAAATCAGTTCTATCCTCCAACTAAACCTCAATTGACTGTTAAAGCAGAACGGGATTTTTCTGATCCGTTTGTTATCAGGTCAGATGACGACGATGTTCTGCTGAACCAAGTTGATGAGACCGGATTACCGAAGGTTATGCAAGGTTGGAGCTTTTACCGATCATCTTGTTTTTAATAATATTTTAAGTCGTTCATTTTTTTAAATAACACAACTATTAATGTTGTATTTTGTTACTCATTGCTAGAGTAATTGGTTTATGAATGATTAATAAGTTGATTAATATTAATGTCAATGATTGTTTGATTAATTGTTAAGGAATTGATCTTGATCGTGTTAAACAGTTTGCTGCTGAGTTCAAGTCTGTAAGACTTAGTTTAGGATTAACACAGACACAGGTAAGAGTAAGTTAAGGACCAGGAGGACCGGAGGGAGGGGGGGGGGGGGGGGGGCACAATTTATAGCAAAAGATGAATGGATGGAAAGGGGGAGGACCATCGAGTTAGGAAGGATTAAAATAAACAATGTTTTCAGACAGAACGATGTAAGAAGAAGATAAAAATTGTTATTTTTAGAAAAGACGAATTAATCATTTCTCTACAGCTCAGCTTAATAATCTCTATTATTTTGTTTATAGGTTGGTTTAGCACTGCAGCCTGGTGTGGATGGTCCAGTAGTATCCCAGTCTACCATCTGTAGGTTCGAGAAACTAGAGATTACTGCTCTGCAGGTGATTATACCAGGATACTGGATAGATATCAAAACCGTCCTAGAGAGAAAAATGTTTCTTATATCTTAAAAAGGAACTGAGTTGTTGTCACTCTCAAATTTTTCAACCCAATATCTTTGCAACCTGATGTTGTAAAATATATCAAATTTAGACTATTTTATCTAACAGAATTGATACTTTGAAATATGAAATGTCCGCGGCATTGGGTTGCAAGGATGTTGGTATTCGAAAATATGAGTTATTTGCAAAATCTAATTTTCCTATTAGACATCAATATTAATGTTAATAATAAATTAGTATAAATATTATTATTATTGGTATAAATATTATTATTAGTATTAATATTATATTATTAATATTTTGAATAATAATACTGATTTTTGTATATATTGGAAGGTAAAGAAACTGTTGCCAATTCTGCAGAGTTGGTTGTGTAATATCAAGCAGAAACAAAGCCTGGGAATACCAATAGATATTTCATCTTCTCATCACATTCCTCAGGTAAATATTCACAAACCAAATCAAACCTTGAACAATAAAAACATTTCAGGAAAATCAATGATCGAAGAAAAAAGGAAATGAAGAAAGCATAAAATAATATAAATCTACACAACACAATATAAAATAATAGAGATCTAGAAAAAAAAACTATTTAAAAAAACTATTTTAAGAAACAATAAATAAATTTTAGGACACAGTAATAGCTTACATTAAAGGAAAAAACAGTACGATTAACTACAAAACAATAAGAATAATAATTATCAAGAAAAAAGTAACAATTTTAAGAGAGAAAAAACACACAGTGAAACAATTTAGGAAAAGCAATAAAAACAATAATTAGATCTAGGAGATCATTCATTAGTTAACAATATTTATTAGATCAGGCGAGAAATACACACAATGTCACCAAAAACAAAATTTTAAAAATGCAAATATTCAGGCATAAGATTGCACAAAACCACCAGGTCATACAAAAATCACAAAAATTAGCCAAAAATTTAGGCATTTGCCATTTTATGTTGCGCGCACATGCCCCGTAAAATTCCAAAACAGAGAGAGGGGGATTGAACTTTGTAGATCCAGAAATTAGTATTTATTTAGGGTTAGGTTAGGTTAAGACACTTTCTGGGACGATCGCTGCGGCTAGGACATGCTAAGGGGCCGAGCACTGCGGCTAGGACATGCAAGGGGGCCGAGCGCTGCGGCCACATGTCTTACATTTAAGACCTCACCAGCTGCCAGTCTCTACGCAGGCATCTCACAGATATTATTTTTCTGGATCTACAAAATTCAATCCCCCTCTCTTTGTTTTGGAATTTTACGGGGGATGCGTGTGCAACATAAAATGGCAAATGCCAAAAATTTAAAGATAATATAATAAAAACACTTCTATATATCTATCTCTTTTATTCTGAATCAACAAAAATATTATCACTGGTGTAGGACGGACAGGAGCAAAAGCGAAGAAAAAAAAGAACAGTATTCTCGGAAGAGACTGTATCAGTTCTTAACCAGGAGTTCTCGTCAGACCAGAACCCTAACCTTGCAAAGATTATACAAATTGCAGCCAAGGTAATAATCAACAAGAAAAGTTTTATTTTTATTATTTATTTTTATTGCTACAAATTTTATTCATCCCTATACCTCTATGGTAATTTATTTTATTATGATTTTAAATAAAATATTTTGGTGTGTTAATTTTTAAGATTAACTTTTTTGGGCTCTGTCAGTCTTATTTGCTGTTTTCGTCGTTTTTGGAAGGGATTCTTTTTCATATTTTTTTTTAACTTCTTCTATGATCATCGTTTTTACGAATTTTAAGGTTTCTGAAAGGGAGATTATCATTTGCATGGTTTTTTTTTAATTTTATCTGTCGTTGAATTGACATCATGTTCAATGTTTATGCTGGTTTTTCTTAACATAACTGTCGTTGGATTGACATCATGTTCAATGTTAATGCTTGTTTTTCTTGATATATCTGTCGTTGAATTGACATCATGTTCAATGTTCATGCTTGTTTTTCTTAATATATCTGTCGTTGGTTTGACATTATTTTCAATGTTCATGCTTGTTTCTTTTCTTGTATCATTTCCATGTTATTTTCATTATTTCTTTCATTGAATGATCATTTTCATGTTATTTCTGTTGTTTCTGTCATTGACATCATCATTTCCATGTTATTTTCATTATTTCTGTCATTGAATTCATCATTTTCATGTTATTTTTATTTTTTTTTCTGTCATTGAATTCATCATTTTCATGTTATTTTATTGTTTCTGTCATTGAATTCATCAATTTCATGTTATTTTTATTTTTTCTGTTATTAACATCACCGGTGTCACGTTAAATAAGGCCCGGGCGTTATATTTGGTCCGGGTGAGTTTTACATGTGAAATCCATGTACAAAATTGATAGAACGGAGGGGGGGGGGGGGTCAAAAAANGTTCTATCAATTTTGTACATAACCAGCGGTAATTTCCTAATATACGATTTTTTGATCCCCCCCCTTCCCCCTCATATTAATTTTGCACATGGATTTCACATGTAACACTCACCCGGACCAAATGTAACACCCGGTCTGGACGTAACGCTACAACGGTATCATCTAATGTGCACGGTCCAAAACAATGTCGATCTGACATCTTTTCAAAAATATTGATGTTTCCCAGGTTGGGTTGGAGAAGAGCACGGTTCGGGTTTGGTTCTCCAATAGGAGACAAACAGAGCGTAAACTCCAACAGGAGCTAGAAGGGGGAGGAGAGTTGGATCGGAAACAAAACTACGATAAAGACGAAGTATTTTCAACTTATAAAAATACAAATAGCAACAGTTAGGAAAATGGAAAGACTGATTTTCTGAATTCTAAACCTATTATGAACCAATTTTGAAACAATTCCACGTTTTTTGCATGCCATTTTCTGAACTGGTTGGATATAAAATATTCAGACCCTTTTTTATTTATCAGACCAAAGTTTCTAAACTTCCTTGATTGTTTTTAATTGTTAAGGAATCGGGCAAAGCCCATTAAAAATATGTGTCCTTATATCTCAAAATGAATCACTAAGAACTTAACAAATGTGTCATAGGCGCGGCATAACCTAACTTGCGCTTGTAAAATATTATTTGATCTTAAATGTGCTGTCGCGGTCGTTGTAATTTTATGGTACCCTTAAAACTTTTTGTATGAGCGTGTTTAATTTTATCAAGTTCTTCCATTGTCTCTTAAGCAGGAATGTGCAAGTTACTTAAAAAATGAAACCACACAAAAAAATCAACTATTAAAGTTAAATGATGGATTAATACATTCTTGTTCAGAGAAAGCTTTCAAGGGTTCTTATGTAAATCGGACATGCCACTTTAAAAATGGAGGGTCAATAAAAGTTATGTTTACGTCTAAACCTTCTTAATGTAACTTTGTAATGTATTTCTGTACTGTACCAATTTTACACTTTGTACATATTGAGTTGATAGATCTAATCTATTTCTGTTATTAAAGTTAACTTGTTAATTTATAACGTGCTAACTTAACATTACAAAAGAAAACAGTTTGTGCTGTAAAGAACATTTAACACCTTACAACTAAAAAAACAATTTGTGCAACGATTGACCCTAAAACTTGCACAATGGGTTTTTCAAGACAAAGGTATTTGTGCTTATGTTTTTTTCCACTTTTAAAGTTAATTCTGTTAAATCAGGCATGTATTATTGTTTTTTCCGCAGCCTTTGCCCAAAATTCGTTTTGTACAAAGGTAAGCGATTATATCAATACAATGAAGACGACTTTCGATTTCAATTTTGATTTAAATCAAGCTCTTGATATATCTTGTAAATAAAAAAGGTTCTGTTTGATTACTTGCTAACTTGTAATTCAAAAAAAACTTGTAAACAACCAAAACTTAAATAAGAAGTCGTCTTAATTGTGTTGATATATTCGTTTAGCACTGTACTATAAACAAACGTTAAATTGTCGAGCTTTTATCAGTATAAAATATTGGTGTAATTATATCCCAACGATTAAAATTATTTTGAATACATTTTATATCATTTTTTAGATCTCAACGAAACATTTTGTTCTCTATTTTCTTAAAAAGATTTTTTTGGCGTTTTAAACAAAATTTACATTGATGGAAATCCAGGATTTAAATGATGTTTAAGAATTGTAAATATTAAGATGTAAATATGTAGATTACAAATATTAAAACATCTATTGATGAATTTTTGTAAAATATTGAAACAAAAATATGTAAACATGTGAGCAAGCAAACAAAACATGTTTGTATGCCTGGACAACTTTAAACTTGTAAACTTGTTTGTATATTTGTAAACATGTAAACCTATGAACCTGTAAACTGTAAACTACCTGGTGAAATGTACTTGAATATATAGCGTTAATTTATTGCGTATTTGCTTAACCAAAATTAAGTGGTTTTTGTGTAATTCTTATAACAGAATTAATTTGGTTGAAAAATTAATTGTTTCTTCAGTTTAAAAAAAAACAAACAGAAAACTGTGAAACAGATTTATTTGATTTTTTCATTTTACACGAGGCACGTCAAACTAGGGTAAATTGTAAGTTTGACTGAGATCTGATTTTCTAATCATAACTCTTCTAGTTTAAGAGATATTGGGAAGAACAAACACGTTTTGAATTATTAATATGAAACCAGAAAGATTTGTTTGTCTCATCTTGTACGTAAAATTAAAACTGTAAAAGCTACAATGTTACAAAGTGGTTTTATTAAAGTCGATTCAAATTTACCTTCTCATCTTGTCTCAGAGTGGAGATACAGTGAAAATCAGATATCGATGAAATAAGAAGATATTTCCTTATTAAATCACTTCTTTAGTCAAAGAGTCTGTTAACACTGTTCAATTGCTGTGTCTCATTTACATTGGAAGCTGTTTAAAACCATAAATTAAACCATTAAAGTCGTCTTATTCCAGAGTAATTTCTAGTTCTCACTGTACACGAAAAAATTATCAATATTTGATTTTTTTGTAATGTGGGTCCCTCTCGTTTTCTGAAAATTAGATAATATATACTTGATAAATGGTATTATAAGATTAAATTTTAAACTACATAAAATTCATAATTTATACGTAATTAGAACACTTAATTGGTCTTAAATATTCTGCAGTACAACAATCGGTCTAGAGTTGCATTTAACCAAAATATTTTTCAGATTAAACTTATCAATATTGAAGTGTTGCCAACAAAAAAGAAACCCTCTATTTATAAAGAAAACGGAAACAATCAGGCGCGCAACTAGGGGGGGGCAGGGGGGCCAGGCCCCCCCTGTAGGGGGTGGGGCAAGAATTGACGAAGTCCACCCTGTTTTGCAATTTAGCGATTCATGAATCCTGACCCTGGGCAAATTTAAGAGCTCTTGTCGTAAAATACAAAAAAAGATAATTGAACGTTAGTTTATTGAGCTTATAGTTCAATCGATATAGCACTTAATACACACACACAGACCCCTTACGTCTCCGAGCCTAACTATACTGCCGTAGATCAGAACAGGTTGACAAGGTTCCAAGGTGCCTTAATCTTTGTTTTTTTTTCATTATGCTGTTTTTTCCTGGGAAAGAAAAGGGGGTTTATTAAGTATTTTTTAGATATTTTCACTATCAGTTCTGCCACTTATTATGATATTGCTTTAATACTGTAGTACAACTATTCAATTAATCCTACATGTTCACCGCAAATATTGTGTGATGTGTCATATTAAAAAAAATATGTTTCATGTAATAAAAATCATGAATTTTTAATGAAAGGCATTTCTTGTCAGTTTCTGAGTACAATGTACATATTTGATTTATGGATAACTAATGAAAATTTATAAATATATATGTAATAATTGTAAATTAATTATTTTTGTGATTTATACCAGAAAAGATTTCTTTTTTTTTATTTCAAATCAGTGTTGACTATACTGAATATCCGGTTGGTAAAGTTAGTTTTTTATTGTTTAAGTATAACACACATTTTTCTTGCCCCCCCCCCCTAAAAATGTTTAGGGGGGGGCCAAAAAAATTTTCGAGCTTCGCGCGAAATATTTCCCCCTAGCTCCCCCCCATAACCAAATGTTTAGTTGCGCGCCTGCAAACAATCAATTAAGGTTGATTAGGGAAAATATTTGCAATCGCGCACATGTTTATTTTACCAATGTCATTATGTCGTTCATGTTATTAAGCGTTGAAAGCCATTAGCCAACCCTTCAACAATTAAAGAAATTATGCTTTTACTTCAAATCCCTGTTTCTTCTTCTTTAAAAAATGTGTCTAAAAATTCCTTAATTATTTATTTTCATTATTTATTTTATTTATTTACAGTTTTATTCTTGGATCAATACATTTGATGAAAGATATTTATCCCTGTAGTCTACACTTCTCGAGTTTTCCAAACCAAATAATTTGGTTCGCGCCAAATTTTCGGTTTGTTTCGAAAGTTGCTCGTTTGTTATTGTTTACTAATATTAATTATTAATTACGTTTAAGTATAATAAATGAGAAGTGTCGTCGTGAGTAAGGTTTCGATTATATTAAATTGTAAGTAAATAAAAAAGAAATTAAGTAAGTATTAAATTGCACGTGTTTTCAGATTACTAAAGGAGACAAAACTGTCTCCCTAAGTCCTTCAAAATTGAGTTGAATTATCCAAGCTTGGTTTCTCACCATCTACCAATCATTCAGGTACATGTCTTGGATATTATGTACGATTATAACAGCTATCATACGCACATAGATTGTCTCATAACAAATTGCTCAATTTTCAATATGCATGTACTTAACACCTAAAAATAGTATACTAAAAAAATAGTACTGAACATTTTGGTATATTCCTAGTATACGGTTTTTATCCTGTCCTAGCCGCAGCGCTCGGCCCAGAAATTGTTTTAACCTAACCTTACCCTAACACAATACAAAACAATTTGAAATAATTTAAAATTGGTGTTTATGTACAAAACTGATAGGACCAATTCCTCTACACCCTTGTATGTTAATATTAGAAGGGGATTATTGAAAACGAGTTGGCATTTGGCGTTTGCAGTCTTATATTATTATAATAAATATTAATTTAGTCCCCAGTGTACAAGATGCCGGTAGCAGAAGATTGGAGAACTTGTCCCCTTGGCCTTGTAGAACGAACCTTTAAGGCGAGACAGGTATATTTCCTCAGACAAATATCCAGGGATATATGTTACCCCCGTCCTTTGAGGTTTTGATCTTAACATTTTTGTTTTATATATGTCTGCAGATAAGCTCTATCACCTTTTTGCCACCATTACCGATCTATGATTCCCCTAACAGAGGGAGATTTAGTTATTTAACGTCCCTTGTGACAGTATGAAAATTATCACCAACCTTGCGAAGGTTTTCGGGGGGAAATCGCGCATTTACATTTTAGAAGACGAAAAAATTGTGAATACTTTTTCGGGAAATGTAAAATTTTAATTCACCAAGGCTTCTCTCTTGGAAACCCTTGGTTAAGTAAAATTCCCTTTACTTCCCTGTAAATTAGTTTTACATAATAATTCCAATACTCCCTCCCGGCTCCCCCCCCCCTCTCAAATAAATGACGTCTCGAACAATTTTCTTCTTCAAAAGTCGAAACCAAGTTTTTTTTTATTGATTTCTGGTACCCTAAATTAGTATCCTGCATTTTTATTTACAATTTCATGATTTTAGTAAAGCTTAAAACTTACTTAAAACTCTTGACACTTTCACCCTCAAACAAACATTCCAGCTGAATCTCATGCTTCCCATAAAAGATGACGATAAAAAATATGCTCATGGGTAAAATGATTGGATATTAAAATTTTACCCTTTAAGATACTAGTTACCTTACCTAAAATGCGTTGACTTTCCCCTACTTGGAATACTTGATGTTTAATCCCCAGGGCTCCAGTTAGGAACATAGCGGGAATCTCTGGTCTGGACCTCACGGAGTAGAGATCTTAACCTCACATTGTGCACCTCATTGGTTTAGTCCTTGCTCTCTAGTCCTGGCACAAAGATTTTCTAGTTAAACAAATGCTTATCGAGCAAATTTTTGAAGATTTTAATTGACTTTGCTTCCTTAATGTCCAACGGCAAGCTGTTCCATTGGTTTGCTACTCGATTTGAGTAAACATTTTGCCTTAGATCCATTCTAGAGTGTTTTGGGATTATATTGTCCTTATACGCCGTCAGTCTGGTAGGTCTTGCAACTTCTGAACCAACCAGATTAAACCAAGTATCAGCCTCTACTTTGTCATAACCTCTGATTATTTTAAATGTCTGATTAAGGTCAAATCTTTTTCTTCTCTGGTCCAGCGTAAGGAGTCCAAGTTCATTTAGTTTTTCCAAGTAGGTTTTACCTTTAAGCCCTGTTATCAGATTCACTGCTTTAATCTGTACTTTTTCCAATACTTCCTTATCACTGAATTCAGCGAATTCAACCCTAAAATCTGGTGGGGATGATTTTCTACGAGGGGGGTGATTTCTCTGGTAACTACACACCCCTGAGGAAAATTAACCAATAGCAGGATTGTATATACTAAATATTTTAGGACAACGATGATTGTTGGTTCTTGTAACTACACACCCCGGAGGAAAATTAACCAATAGCAGGATTGTATATATTAAATATTTTAGGACAACGATGATTGTTGGTCTGAGAAGCTGAGCTCTCAGTTCAATGCTCTGCTCTCCGACCCTGCCAACAGAAACACCCTCCCCTCCCTAAACTTCACCCCCAACCATGAGTTGAGGGACGGGCAGCTGGTGAGGTTCAGGGGGATGGTCCAGGATATGTATGATCCTGAGATATATATGGCGGAATACGAGACAAGAAACTTATCCACAGGAGTTAAGAATATTCAGTGCGGCAGGTAGGTGAACATGGAGGAGTAGGAAAACATGGCGGAGAAGAACATGTACGAGTAGGAGAACATGGAGGATAGGAGAACATTGAGGACAGGAGAATATGGAGGATAGGAGAACATGGAGTATAGGAGAATATGGAGGAGTAGGTGAACATGAAGGAGTAGGTGAACATGAAGGAGTAGGTGAATATGGAGAAGTGGGAGAACCTGGAGAAGTAGGAGAATATGGAGGAGTATGTGAACATGAAGGAGTAGGTGAACATGAAGGAGTAGGTGAACAGGGAGGTGTAGGTGAACATGGAGGATAGGAGAATATGGAGAAGTAGGAGAATATGGAGGAGTAGGTGAACATGGAGGATAGGAGAACATGGAGGACTGGAGAACATGGAGGATAGGAGAACATGGAGGAGTAGGTGAACATGAAGGATAGGAGAAAATGGAGGAGTAGGTGAACATGGAGGATAGGAGAACATGGAGGATAGGAGAAAATGGAGGAGTAGGAGAATATGGAGGAGTAGGTGAACATGGAGAAGTGTGAGAACCTGGAGAAGTAGGAGAACATGGAGGATAGGAGAAAATGGAGGATAGGAGAACATGGAGGATAGGAGAAAACGAGGAATAGGTGAACACGAAGGAGTAGGTGAACATGGAGAAGTGTGAGAACCTGGAGAAGTAGGAGAGCATGGAGGAGTAGGAAGAGTAAGAGAACAAGGAGGTGAAGGAAAACATGGAGGTGTAGGAGAGCATGGAGTAGGAGAAACCTTTCTTTCATCTTTTCTTTCATTCATTCTTTCATCCATTTTTCAATGCATTCTTTCATCTTTTCTTTTATTCTTTCTTTCATTCATCCCTTCATCCTTTTTTTCATTCATTCTTTCATCCTTTCTTTAATTCATTCTTTCATCGATGCCTTCCTTCTTTCTTTCAATCATTCTTTCATTTTTTTCATTCGTGCTTTTATTCATTTTTTCATTCATCCTTTTATTGATCCTCTGATTAGATACCGTGATGTGCTTCCTAACAGTATCCGTGAGGAGGTTCTAGAGGACTCTGAGCATGTTGTCATGAAGGAATACAACTCAATCAAAAATAAATTGTCCCTGAATGTGCATTTTAATGAAAACAGAAATTTATATTTTGTTAAAGAATCATAACCCCCGCCCCCTGAACTTATTTTTATAATCTTTGGATTCTCTTTCCCGAAATTATTTTTATACTCTTTGGATTCTCTTTCCCAAAATTATTTTTATACTCTTGGGATTCTCTGTCCCGAAATTATTTTTATACTCTTGGGATTCTCTGTCTCGAAATTATTTTTGTACTCTTTGGATTCTCTGTCTCGAAATTATTTTTATACTCTTTGGATTCCCTGTCTCGAAATTATTTTTATACTCATTGGATTCTCTTTCCCGAGATTATTTTTATACTCTTTGGATTCTCTTTCCCTAAATTATTTTAATACTCTTTGGATTCTCTTTCCCAAGATTATTTTTATACCCTTTGGATTCTCTTTCCCTTAATTGTTTTTATACTCTTTGGATTCTCTTTCCCTAAAATATTTTAATACTCATTGGATTCTCTTTCCCGAAATAATTTTTACACTCTTTGGATTCTCGTTCCCGAAATTATTTTTATATTTTTAAGGGGAATTATAGTTGATCGTATTATTATTATTATTATTGTAAATTGAGATATTTGATTTACATTAATTAGTATTTTCATGGAAAATTGCTTCCTCAATTACTAGAAAATTATATTCGCTGATGTTGATGAGAATGGTTTGGTTTGGTAGGATCGTCATGTTGTGTACTGCGTGAGTATACCTGGAGAGAACCCCTGGGTTACTGAGCTCCTGGCAGCACAGGCAGAGAACAAGGCTGGACCCTCTGGAACATATCAGAACCCATTGAAGAGGGGGCTGGACCCTTCAACACAGGTTAGCCCGCTCAATCAACCTTATCCTCCTTCATAAGTTTTATTTTTTTTAATTTATTAGTTATTTTTGATTGATTGATTTATAAAATTCAGTTCATGTTTTGTTCATATAAATAATTAATTTTTAATTACTTGTCTACACATATTTTTTGTCTGACCATAGTTTGAGTAATGAGATCGTTTTTTTAATTTACAATGGATTAATCGACTAATTGATCGATTGATCGGTTGATCGAAGCTAATTAATCTATTGATCGACTAATTGATCGATTGATCATCTTTCTCTTAGTTTGATTAATTTTATAAGAATCAAATGATGTCGGCTGACACACGAATATCCTATGAAAAAAATTTTCCTAGGAAATTATTGATGGTGAGAGTATGGAAGGTATGGAGATGGATGGAGATGAATCTAAACCTGGAGATGAATCCCCCAGCAACGGTCTAGTTAAGAAGAGCAAGGGGGAGAATGGGAACCCTGTAGTACCTGGAGTTAAACCAACTCAGGGCTCAGTAGATCTCAACCTACCAATCCCGAATCAAAAAGGTGGTTTAATTTTGTTCTATGCAAAAATGTATTTTTCTTCTTCAACCTCTTTTTTTATTATTATTATTGCAATTTAGTAAAAACAAATATTAAAATTTCAATTCGTTTATTTGTTTTGATTACTAGGTAAGGCTGCTATAGTGAAACTATACGATGTACCTGAAGGTGAGATCAAGCTGACCGATCTCCTGGATATAGTTGGGGTCATCTCACTTGACCCTGCCATGGCCTTGAGCGAACCTAACGAGACCTCCATCTTCCCCCCACCCTCCCTTGTACCCAGACTGCACGTGATTCACTTCCAAAAGGTCAGTTTAGGAGTTTGTACTAAGGGTTTATACTGAATATTTTTCAGAAGGGTGATGATAAATTTGACAGCAAAATGCATTTTTTTCATTCTTGATCATTTTTACCCCAAAACTCAATTATTTTCACCAATTCTTCGAGAACAAAAAACTTGTAAAAATATATCGTTAGTGGGAAAATGTTCACCCGTTGCTTGTAAATCATGACATTTTTAAACGACATTTTATTCGACAACCAACTGTTCCAATGGGAAATGTTTTCTGAAGAAATATCCCCNTCAAATGAATAAAAGATCGTCATTTCCCGGTTTTTTATTTCATTTCACAGTTGTTGGTTTCCTTAAAGCGCTGAAGCCATGTTTTAGTTGTTTATCACTTGGACTTCTACAGAATCATTGTTTAATTAGTTCTTTTTACCATGCATTAATTGATTTAATATTTTGTTTTTTTCCGATAACAAATGATAAAAAAATCTATAAGAACCCCTAGGGGTATATGATGTAAAGATAATTATTAATAATCAATCCCCAGGGGATAGATTTTAAAGTGGGGTCGGGAATTAGACATTAAAGGGCAAGTTTTCATCCTAAAGTAATTTATTTCTCATACAAAATACTTATCATCCCGTAAAAACCATTCATAATCCCTTAAAAAATCATTTATTTTCCTTTTTCAGAAAACTTTTATTTTTCGCTCCGCGCAATAATACGTGCAATTTTAGAATGAATTATTTGCAAAAAGGCGAACTGAGAAAAAAAGGAAGTTTTAAAGAAAATATCGTTGTGCAGTCCCTATTTTCAAACAAAAAGTAGATAAGAAAAATATGTTGGCGAGAATTTTTCTATTCTAATTGTTTTAGCTCGCGCACAATAATCCATTGGTTGGAGAAATATCTCTAACGCGCTCGGAGATGGAATCTACGCGCGCCAAGCTTCTTCACATCCTCACTGAATCATTGCTCGGGGATACTCTTGCTGCAGAATACCTTCTTCTTCATCTTATATCTAAGGTAAATTATGTTAAAGGGGCTAAAAACCTACAATCTTGAGTGACCCTCCATGCAAAGAAGACAATGTATTATTTACAACGGTACCCTTAAAACCTTTATCTGATCAATAATTTGAAAGCTATTGTCGTTTTTCTTGGATAAGTGTTCTGATTCTGATAATTTCTTTGGTTGAATTCGAATTTCTAATTTGATGAGACAGAGCTTTTAATGATATCGTTTTGAATCGGACATTGGCATCTTTGCACGAAGAGTCACTAAAACTTGCGCCTGTAGTCCCTTTAAAGGGACTTTAAAGGAAAAATGAAGGGGGGTATAGGCTGAAAGCTAATCACTGAAGCTCTTGATGGCGACCCATGAAAGTTCTATCTGATGTTCCTGTCCCGAGAAATTTATATAAAACTGTGTTAAATTTATACGAAAATTCATATATTTACAATTTTGTATAGAAATAGTAAGTCCGTATTACGTCACAAGAACTCCCACCGATGAGAGTATAGTATACTGGTCACGTGATACAGACAGAGACACGTGACCACTATATTGCACTACCATGGGTGTGAGTTCATGATAACGTAATACGGACTTCTAAATAATATTATCAATTATATCTATTAAAAATTAAAATTAAAATTATAAAATAATAATTGGAGAAAACCCTAAGTAACAATTAGGTTTCTCGGTATCTTCGTTTTCAGATTGGTTGCATATTTGCTGAATATCATCTGTTTAAACCTACTATTTCTATATAAATATGAATACAGAAAGATCAGATATAACTTTCATGGGTCGCGATCAAGAGCTGAAGTGATTAGCTGACAGTCTATACCCCCTTTCATTTTATTTTTATTTTTCATTATTAAGAGATCTCTCGGAGTATAAGAAAAATATCCTGCTATCATTGTACTGAATATTCGTATTTCTGGTTTTTCAACAGTATATCATTTACTAATTCACATTTTCTGCGCGTTTTTTTACTTAACTGTCAAGTTTCGATATTTTTGGCTTATACTTGTGATTTTTTTTCGCATTTTTTATCATTAAACCCCATTTGAGACAGTCATTTGTGATATTTGTGAAAAATACATAAAATAAATATGGGTTAGTATTTCTAGTTGTAAACTATTTTGCCTCTGTAAAATTGTTTCAGAAGAATTGTACACCCTTAAATTGTTCAAGATACATAACTCCTGAAAACGTTCATATTTAGTTCCGAATCTCTTTTAGATATATTGCTTAGGTTTAAATGGCTCGATTACTTGATGTATGTTGCATTAGATGATAACCACAAAGTAATTATGACGTGATGTTGACATGTGCTACATGCTAAATCCGGCTCCAACTTTTACAAACTGACCTTATTTTTGAATCGATTTTACTAGGTGACTGGAAGACGAGATATCCGTGTAATTGGGAAAATGTGTTTAAACCTTTTCCGCCTTGATTCTACTCTCAACTGGAGCAGGTACTTGGAGTATAGCGCAGGGGGGGACTCTAGGGGAGTTAATACTGTAACAGGGAGATGTTAGGGGAGTTAATACTGGAACAGGGAGTGGGGATTCTGGGGGTTAATACTGGAACAGGGAGTACAAGGGGATGCTAGGGGAGTCAATACTGGAACAGGGAGTACAGGGGGATGCTAGGGTAGTTAAGACTGGAGCTGGGAGTACAGGGGGGGGATTCTAGGGGAGTTAATACTGGAACAGGGAGTACAGGGGGATGCTAGGGTAGTTAATACTGGAACAGGGAGTACAGGGGGATGCTAGGGTAGTTAATACTGGAACAGGGAGTACAGGGGAATGCTAGGGGAGTTAAGACTGGAACAGGGAGTGCAGGGGGGATTCTAGGGGAGTCAATACTGGAACATGGAGTACAGGGGGATGATAGGGGAGTTAATGCTGAAACAGGGAGTACAGGGGTATGTTAGGGTAGTGAAAACTGGAACAGGGAGTACAGGGGGATTCTAGGGGTGTTAATACTGGAACAGTTCCAGCTCTTAAAGTATAATTGGTTTGCTGAAAAAAGTTTAACAATGACGCAATACACTTCTTATTTTTATCATTTATTGATCATTATATTACTCTTGGAGCGAGGTTCGCGCTTGTCCTTAAATTGAGATGGGGGGTGGGTGAATTTTGTTTTATATGAGAGAGAACTTTTCTTCAATGGGGCAGTGTTTCCTCTATTTTGTTTTGGGAGACGCGGTTAGCATCTCCCTAGAAGTTGGACAAAACAATGTGCATTATGTTTGTTAGTTTTAGGCTCATTTTTTGTCGATTTTTGCTTTCATAGTCAAAATCTGGCAACGTGCCAGAAAATGGATGCAAAAGCGAACGTTATACAGTTATACAGTTAAACAGTTATACAGTTATACAGTTATATCGATCGTTTTTCCTTTCTTTTTTTGGATTAAAATATTGCAAAGTTTAATAAAAGCAAACTTAAACAGTTATGAAATCTTGAAAGTTTTGTTTATTTAAAGTTTAAAAAAGAACCTAAACAACACTAGATGGAGAACGCTTCTAGAGAAAAGGGGGTAAAATTTTCTGTAAAATATCAAATTTTTTCTTATAGATGTTCTTTACCAATTTTCCTTGAGATGTGGGGGGGGGGATTTTTAGTTATGGTGAGCTCCTAGACCTAATTATCTTGTTCACATTATTAACCATTCATAAAATGAAAATGTGTGGCCTCCAATCTTTAATGAGGAGATTGGAGGGGAAGGAGTTTATGAAAATATGGTAAAATATGAAGTAGAAGGAAGCCAGAAAAATTATATAAAAATGAAAAACGATATAAAAATGAAAAACTTGAATCAAAAATCATTTTAAAATAAAAACTTTCTAGATCATCATTATAATGAATTTAATTTTTTCAAATTTAATTTATTTTTGCTTTGTTAATATTTCCCAGGACTAGGAAATTAAATCAAACTTAATAATTTTTTTAATTTAATTTAATTTAATTTCACATCCGGGTTTCGGCTTTAAAAAAAGTTAATTTTAAATTTTCTATACAAAGCATTAATAATTAGTTCGTACGAATAATTTACCGTTAGAATAAGTTAGACAGTAAACAGGAAATATATCTAGATATAGATATTTTCTATTTCTGACTTCTTCTATTATGGATGGCGAAGATACAAGATTAAATATATAAAAGATTCCAATTTATTAGAATTGTTGAGATGATAAAAAGCCATCGAAGTGCGAATTAAAAATGCTAGTCTTTTTTTTTTATCGACACTGCAACAACTGCTCAGAAACCAACGCAACGTTATTATTGTTAACCTTGACCAATGATCAAACTACAAGATTTATTAGATTTTTCTATTTAAAACTTAATTTATTTTGTGTTTTACTGTATAAAAAATCGGTAAGCATATGGACAAAAAAGTACCAATCCTGAATGAAAATATAATATTTCCAGATAATTATTTTACAATTCTGTTGAATTTTTATCTTTTTTGAAATATATTTATATTATTTAGACGTATTTACACTCTGGTTGGATTACTCAGCCCTGGCTCCCATCATCTTCCACTTTCAAGAAACCAGTTGGAACTCACCAAATTCGTTCCATTCAAGGTAGGAACCAGTTGGAACTCGCCAAATCGTTCCATTCAAGGCAAGGTAGGAACTAGTTGGGTCACACCAAATTCGTCCCATTCAAGGTAAGAACCAGTTGAAACTTGCCAAATTCGTTCCATTTAAGGTAGGAACATTCGGAACATACCAAATTCGTTCTATTCAAGTTAGGAACCATTTGGAAGACACTAAATTCGTTTCAGTCAAGGTAGGAACCAGTTGGAACACGCCAAATTTGTTCCATTTAAGGTAGAAACTAGTTGGAACTTACCAAATTCGCCCCATTCAAGGTAGGAACCATTTGGAACACCACCCGTTTCGTCACATTCAAGGTAGGAACTATATGGAACACACTAAATTCGTTTCATTTAAGGTAGGAACTAGTTGGAACTCACCAAATTCGTTCCATTTAAGGTTGGAACCAGTTGAAACACACTGAATTCGTTTCATTCAAGGTAGGAACTAGTTGGAACTCACCAAACTCGTTCCATTCAAGGTAGGAACCAGTTCGTACACACAAAATTCGTTTCATTCAAGGGAGGAATTAGTTGGAACTCACCAAACTCGTTCCATTCAAGGTAGGAACCAGTTCGTACACACAAAATTCGTTTCATTCAAGGCAGGAATTAGTTGGAACTCCCCAAACTCGTTCCATTCAAGGTAGGAACCAGTTGGAACACGCCAAATTCATTACATTTAGTTAGAACTTAAGATTTCCACGGAATGATGGTTGATCTTTTATTTATTTATTTATTTAAGAGGGGGGGATAGGAGCTCATTCGGGAATATTCCACAAAATTTATGAGCTAATGCATTTTGAATAATTTTCAGGATTTTGAAGCAAACCGATTAGTTTCCGGTGTTCTCCAGCTTCCTGCCGGAACTAACCTTGTTCTGGATGAAACCGCTATGACGGACGGTCAACTCTCAGCCAAGGGCGTACAAAACCTCACTGCTTTAGGTACACGTCCGATTGATTTTATAATTGATGATTGATCACTGATCATTGATTTTGATGATTCATGATTCATGATTCATGATTCATGATTGATATTTCATTTGATACCTCATTTGATATTTATTTTGATATTTCATTTGATATTTCATTTGATTTGATATTTGATCTGATATTCGATTTGATATTTTTTATTTGATTTTTGATTTGATTTTCAATTTGATTTTTGATTTGATTTGATATTTATCTTGATTTTGATTTTTGTTACTGTATGTGTTTATTTTAGTTTTTTGCGTTTTTGTGTTAGCTTTTGAGTCCATAATATTTGTTTATGCTTAATAATAAAGAGTGTTTTTTTTTTAGGGAACCTGATCACATGGCAGAAAGTGGATTATGATTTTAAATATCACAGTCTTGACTACGATACAGATATTCCTGTGCTGGTAGGGATGGGATGGGATGGGATGGGATGGGATGGGATGGGATGTGCAGTATCTAAAGGTTGTTTCTATGTAGTTGCAGTGGGACAAGACGGGACAAAAATATATTTTAAATTATCAATAAAATTATATTTGATATTTTCCAGGTTTTATCGGATGGAAGATCTCTGCTCCCCTCGGACTTCCAGGTGATGGTGAAGCCGGAGGTGGAGAACGTGGCGAGCATCCTGGAGAACAAGTTCAAGAACATCGGGGCATTGCTCACCCAGGATTTACTCAACAGGTGACGTTGCTTTTTTTATTCGCGAGTTTTTGATTTTTACAAGTAAAAAATATTAATAACTGAAAATCTTTCGCTTGTAGTAAAAACGGTTGCTTATTTATTTTTTTGTTCTCTAAAAACAAGAGTTTACATGTTGTGTACTAGGATTAAGGGTTTAAATGTTGTGTACTAGGATCAAGGGTTTGAATGTTGTGTACTAGGATCAAGGGTTTAAATGTTGTGTACTAGGATCAAGGGTTTAAATGTTGTGTACTAGGATCAAGGGTTTAAATGTTGTGTACTAGGATCACGGGTTTAAATGTTGTGTACTAGGATTAAGGTTTTAAATGTTGTGTACTAGGATCAAGTTTTTAAATGTTGTGTACTAGGATCAAGTTTTTAAATGTTGTGTACTAGGATCAAGGGTTTGAATGTTATGTACTAGAACCAATTGTTTAAATGTTGTGTACTAGAATTAAGGGGTTAAATGTTGTGTACTAGAATTGAGGGTTTAAATGTTGTGTACTAGAATTGAGGGGTTAAATGTTGTGTACTAGGATCCGTGTGTACTTAACTCTCTGCCGGGAAATGGAGTACACTCTCTCTGATACACTTCAGAAGGAAGTACAAGATGATTTTGTCAGGTACACTAGTGACAATTTTCTTTTTCTTTTTTATTATTAACTATCATTTTCGTATCTCTAATATCCACACTTTCTTGATTTTTTATTAATTATTTATTGACTATTAAATGTTTAAAACTTTCTACTTTTCTTTCTAACATCTTCTAAATGAAAATTATGTCTTAGACAAAAATGGGGTGACCTCTTTTGGAAAGCTTTAAAAATATTCATATTAGTTAGAGTATTTATTATATTCTCTACAATTTACATTAAATAAAACAGATGGCATGAAATTATCTTGTGCTTAGCCCAAACATTTCCTCATAAAGAATGTTTGTTATTGATTATTGAACTTATGAAGTCGCATTTTAGTTTCTTAGTTAAATGGAAAATAAGTTTTGAACAGCTAAACTAATTTGAATTTTTACGATTCTTATAAACTTATAAGACTATTTTTAGTCTTTGAAGTTTAAATATATATTTAATATTTTTAGCAAACTTTTGAAATCCTCCTTGGAAGTTATTTTTAGAACAAACAAGGTTAATATTCTAATTTCATTTTTAATTGCGATCTTCAAAAACTAATTTTATTAAGACAAATAATTTGTCACAAGCGAAATTTCAAATAACCTTCAATGCAAATATGGCAATGTCCAATTTACAACAGTGCCCTTTAAAGCTTTGTCTGATCAAGTATGAATTGGATATACATGTTTTGTTTATTTTGTTTATTTCTTTTGCGGTTTCTTTGCGAATGGGACTTGCGCATTTCTTGCATATCAGGAACCAAGGAGAAATTATCAGAATTAAACACTTTTTAAGTCAGAAAACGACGTTATTTTTGCGTAGAGTGTCACTTGAAATCACAAATTTACACATACAGTCTCTTTAACGTTCATCTCTTGGGTTAGGACTCAGACCAAGTTATACGCTGCTGTTAAGACATTAAGGAGAAGAACTGGTGACAGGAAATTGGGGAAATAATCATTTTAGCAACCGTTATCATTTTGTCCAACATTATTTCTGCTCAGGTTGAGACAGGAGGATGACCGACGAATGTCTGTAGACGATATGCATTCACATCTAGTACTCGCCAGATTAGGTATTTAAATCATCGTATTTTCGATTTGATGGCTTTTTTCTAAATCAATCTTCTCATTTTCCTTGTACAGTCTCTGAAAAAAATAATGAATTTTAAGGTTTGGCAAAAAACTAGATTTTCCTGTTCAGATATTTAGTAAAAATATTCATGATAGATTTGACCCAACGATAACATAATTTAAATTTTCATTTCTTTTGTTGAATATTTTCATAGGTTCTAAATTCATTCAATTTGACGTAGGTTTGTTATCTAGCATTAACTAGATATTGAAAGATTACTTTGGTTTAAAAACTGAACAATAGGCTGAATTATTGCAATTATCTTTTTTTTCTATTTTCTATTGTATGCGCAGTGTTTAAAAGGTGTATATATTGTAGTTGCAGTATCTAAAGTGTGTTTCTATTATAGTTTAGTATCTAAAGGTTGTTCATATTGTAATTGAAGTATCTAAAATTTGTTTATATTGTAGTTGCAGTATCTAAAGGTGTTCATATTGTAGTTGAAGTATCTAAAGGTGTTTATATTGTAGTTGCAGTATCTAAAGTTTGTTTTCTTGTAGTTGCAGTATCTAAAGTTTGTTTATTTTGTAGTTTCAGTATCTAAAGGTTGTTTCTATTGTAGTTGCAGTATCTAAAGTTTGTTTTATTTTAGTTTCAGTATCTAAAGTTTGTTCATATTGTAGTTGCAGTATCTAAAGGTTGTTTCTATGTAGTTGCAGTATCTAAAGTTTGTTTATATTGTAGTTGCAGTATCTAAAGGTTGTTTCTATGTAGTTGCAGTATCTAAAGGGCGTTTATATTGTAGTTGCAGTATCTAAAGGTTTTTTTATGTAGTTGCAGTATCTAAAGGTTGTTTTTATTGTAGTTGCAGTATCTAAAGTTTGTTTATATTACAGTTGCAGTATCTAAAGGGTGTTTTTATTGTAGTTGCAGTATCTAAAGTTGTATATATTACAGTTGCAGTATCTAAAGAGTGTTTTATTGTAGTTGCAGTATCTAAAGTTTGTTTATATTACAGTTGCAGTATCTAAAGGGTGTTCTTATTGTAGTTGCAGTATCTAAAGTTTGTTTATATTACATTCGCAGTATCTAAAGGATGTTTTTATTGTAGTTGGAGTATCTAAAGTTTGTTTATATTACAGTTGCAGTATCAAAAGGGAAGAATGAACTAGATTGTGAGGATTGGAGTAGAGTAAAGGAGATGGAATCTGAGAGAAGGAATACAAGGTTACCACCTCCTAGGTCAGTTTTAGATACAGTTATGTGATGTGGATTCCTTTTTTTGTCTTTTATTAGTTTCAGGGTACAATTTTGGCATAGTAAATGATAAGTGATTGATTTTAAACCTGTTTATTTCTTATGTTATGCTAAATTTGGCCCCTGACAGAAAATATAGACAAATTAAAAACAAATCTGTTCTAATGTTTTTGTATCTTGTTTTTTTTTAGGATAAAAATATTGCAAGTTTAATAAAAGCAAATCTCAAACCAACGCTAGATACAGTGCTTTGATTTGTCATGCTGTACTCTTTTTTTCGGACTTTACTGCTTTCATTACTCATACATTACTCATAATTGTTATTTATCCTTCGATCCTATTTTTCTTTCTTCAATGATAACATTTAACCTTCTATTATTTTTTTTTCCCCTTCAATATTTTAGTTTATTCTCCGATTAATTTATTTATCCTCTGACGCTCAAATTTATCCTATGATGCCTTATTTCACCCATAATACTGTAACTCATTTATCCAACCATTCTTTTATTTTTCCTTAAATACTAAATTTATCCTCCAATGCTTTTAATTTTTTACTTTATTATTCTAATTTTTCCTCCGATGCCTTTATTTATTCTTTAATACTTCAATGTAATATCCGGTGCCTTTATTTTCCCTCCAATTCTTACATTTACCTGCTGCTTTATTCTCCTCCAATAACAGCATTTCTCCTATCTCCATTTAGCCTTCGTTATTTTATCCTTCCATTTAACCATTGATACTTTTTTCCATATTTTTTTCCTCTAATACTTTCTCATTCAATTTAGCCTCCGATACTTTCTTCTTTCAATTAGCCTCCGATAATTTCTCCTTTCATTTAGCCTCCAATACTTTCTACTTTCAAATAGCCTCCGATAATTTCTACTTTCAATTAGCCTCCGATACTTTCTCATTCCATTTAGCCTCCGATACCTTCTACTTTTAATTAGCCCCCGATACTTACTGCTTTCAATTAGCCTCTGATACTTTCTCCTTTTATTTAGCCCCCGATACTTTCTTCTTTCAATTAGCCTCCGATAATTTCTACTTTCAAATAGCCTCTGATACGTTCTCCTTTCATTTAGCCTCCGATACTTTCTACTTTCAATTAGCCTCTGATACTTTCTCCATTCATTTAGCCTCCTATACTTTCCCTTAGTGCTTAGAATGCGGATCCGTTAGACCCGCAACATTTTGGTTTCCTGGATCCGATGCGCAAAATATAAATGAAAGACTGCAAAGAAAAACTTTGACTCTTAAAACTCAAATGTGACCTAACAAGGGATTTTCAAAAAAATCTTAAAATAAGCGAAAAACAAGAAAATTTATTTACAAAATTTTCTTTTGTTCAATAAATCAGAAAATCTTAAAGAAATTTTCTTGACCTGGATCCGGATCAATTTTTTTCCATTGCGGATCCAGGTTCCGGATCCGCATCAATATTAAATGGATCCTAAGCACTTCTATTATATAGCCATGAATAATTTCTCCTTCCAATTAGCATCTGATAAGTTAGTTTCTTTCATTTTTCCTTCAACACTAAAAGATTCCTGATAGTTACTTATTGATCTTGTATTTCCACTTTCAATTTTTTCTTAACTTTATTGCTTTCAAAAATGCTTGGTTCGAAATCATTGTTATTTTTGATATATTAACTTCCGAAGATATCTTTATGACTGCTCGGAACTTAATTTTTTGTTTATTTTAGAGGTGACGCGAGCCTAGCAAACGGTATTCCACTCCACCTAGCGGCCTCATGAATTTACACAAAACTGCCAACACCACAATATTACAAAGCAATACATATATATTGTATAAAGAACCAGTAAACTGCCACAGTTCAATTTATCAAATATATGTATTTTTTTATAGATTTTTGTTTAAATGTTTGTGGAGGTAGATTTGAAGAGAAAAGTAGATCAGAGAAAAAAGTTCTTATGCAAATATGAATCCGTTTGCGGATTCGGACAAATATCAAGATTCTAAATGATAAAATTTAACAGGATTTTGTTTCAGAAATAAGAACGAAGAAACCATAGGAAGAAACTTTTTGTTTCGGAGGGAGATTAAAATGTAGGTACCTTCAAAGTTTCGGAATTCAAAATGAAGGTTTTCTAAATAGGAAGAACCATCTAAACTTTTTAACCAAGTCCCATAAACGTTTTTGCCTGTTCTCATCTTGTTATTTAGTTTTCGAAATTATAATTTTTTTAAATCTGTTTATGTTTATTACAAGGCTTCTCAATTAACATGGTATTAAATGACTAGTCTATGTGCAGAATTGCAGCGTTGTGCCGTCTAATTTTAATCATAATCATATAGTTACGGTAAAAGACTGATATCTTATTTTGCAAAATATTATATATTATATCTGCAAGATAAACGGCAAAGAGGAACAACTGTACATTGTTTGTGTAAAGGAATTTTTCGTTTACCAAGTACATCAGTATGCAATCAAAACATAAACAAACAAAACTATAGCAGCTGAAATTTCGACGGATTACAGCTTCCCTATGATCCCTAGGAGGTCTAAGAGTCATCACTACAATAAATTAAAGATACATTAACAAAGACAATATCAAAATCGTCAATCAATTCGGATCCCATGTTTATTGGGGCACCTTGTATTTTGATGCTCTTTTAAACATTTTTATAATGCAATATTTTATTAATCCTTAATAGTCTTTGTAGGAACCCAGGTTAATCAATTTTTATGATACAATGCATATATGATTATTCTATCTTTAACTTTGCAGCTAGTGGGGCTATTTTTTAAAAAAATAATGTAAATAAGGATTTTATATAGGGGGGGGGGGTAAATTTTGTTACCCCCCTCCTCCCCCCAGACCATGTTTAACCCCATCCATGATGCATATTAAATTATGGGTTTAGCTGGGTTTCATTAAAATTTCTCAACAATTTTTGGGATTTACAAACTCTATCAAATAAATGTCTTCCTTTACCACCTTTCTTAATTTATACCTTAAAGGTCGGTGTCCATTATAAAATAAGACTTTTTAACAGCTTCTGAAAAAGCAAATCCACCAATATGAAAAATCCGCGATGATCAGCCACCTGTGCCCTAGGAACAAATTAGTTTCAATGTTTAAAAGAATATTCATCACATAGAAGATTAAGGACATGAAAGAGGAGTGGATGCAAATGCTTTAAAATTTATTTCTAAATAATGTTGATCTTTAAACTTTTTATCCCCCCCTCCCCCTCGAACCCCTTTATACCTAATTTGACATAAATAGTGCAAGAACGCTACTTCATTAAAAAATCGTTTTTGGGTAAAATTTATTTACAGGGTATCCCAAAAAACATGGGAATTCAGTGACGAATTCGATATCGTCTTTGTTATGAATTAGCATTGTAATACCTAATTTCAAAAGCCATAATATTATTATGTCTGCTAGAGTTTATTTAATGAAAAAGGTAAAAGACTGCAAAGATGTGTCTATAATGTCTCCGCAAGATGAACAGTGAATACGGACAAGTTTACTCTGTTTGTATACTGTAACTTTCTTGTTTTACTAAGTACAACCGTATGCAGTCAAAACATAAACAAACAAAATGTAAACATAGCAGACGAAACTCTTACAGATTACAGCTTTCTCAGTAGGTATCACTGTACTAAATCAAAGAATTATTTGAAAAGACGATATCGAATTCGTCACTGAATTCCCATGTTTTTTGGGACACCCTGTATGTTATTTTGATAAAATTATCTGGGCATTTTTCCTCTTGATAGTAAACGGGATGTTTGTGCCCCCAATATTCAAGGGGGGGGGGGTTGTAAATAACCCCAATACCACCCTTTATAAACGCCACTGAACATATTATTTTTGAATAAATTCCCATTCCTTCCTTTATAAAATGCTGGTTTTTTGGTATCCAACAATTTTCATTTAATACCGCCCCTTTTAATTGTTTTAATATTTTAATTTTAATTTATTTTTTTTTATAAAGGAATGTCATTAACTCTCAGACAAATTAGAATCAATGCCTGGGAGTAAATGATACATTGAAAGAAAATACATTCTTACCACCTGCAAACTGGACAAGAGTAGAAGGGGTAAAATTTATGAGAAGTCCGCGGTAGTTTGATTTTTTTTCACATATTATAATTTCTAAACATTTTTGTACTTCTCAAAAGCTCTTAAACTGAATGAGTTCTGATTGAAAACATAAAAGATATTAATCTAACTTGTAATTTACTTTAGATTGACGGGAGCAAGAATGTAATGCAAGGAAAGTTTATTGCGGTAGTGTATACTCTGCGTACATATTGAAACCAGTTCTCTTTCGGGCGGAATTTGTAAACAAGAATAGATGCATCAGTGTTCGTTTAGTTTTGAAAATTTTGATAATTCACATAATAGTTTCCTATGATCAGAATATTTCATCGATTTTTTATGTGCAAGATGGATCCCATTTCAGGCTTCGACATCCGTCTTGTGTTTACATTACCGCCCAGAGACAGTACACTGCAGTACAAAAGATGTGTACACTTCTGAAATAACTTTCCTTGCATTACATCCTTGGACGGGAGATAAAGAAATAATTGAAAGTGACCTTTCATTTCAGGAATACCACACCGACCTGGCAGAGTTTTTTTTTTATTGGAAATACCTTTAAATTATGTTAATATCTCTTAAGAATTATTAATTCTGTACTTGTCATTCATTAGCTTAACTCTATCCCTGCTGGGGTATTTGAAAACCAGGATACCCGGGGGGTGGGTAAATGATGTTTAATGTCCAAATATGACAAATGATACATCATTGGAAAGCTCTTATGCTCTACTTTTAGGATATATAAAAAAATTATTTTTTTGCAAAATCAAATTATATAGTTAAAAAAGGTCCAAAAATGTGCAAATTTCTTTTGACGGGGTGTTTGCAATCTGCTCAGGCAGATAGTATAAATGCCCGGTTTTAGATCTAAAGGGAGTGCTATGAATAATCAAGAAAAGTCAGAAAACTTGAACAGCATCAGACCAATAATTTATGTAAAAAATACAGGAGGGAGGGGGGGGTNCCCTCTGCAGGATTAGGGTTTAATTACAATTTAAAATTCCAATTAAACTATTTTTTAATGTTTATTTTTTAACAAAATACATATTTATATACATATTACAGTGCTTAAATGTTTACACATATTTACATTGGTTTCTGTTTTCTTTTTATAACATTAATGTTTATATAGACGATCAGTACTTTTCTACTTTTTACATAAAATGCGGATCTAGGCGTCGATTTTCAAAAAAATTCTTTCGAAAATTTATCACAATCTTTAAATCTTAAATTTTCTGTTTCACGACTATATGTAAATATATTCAATGGACGGAAATACTTGAGAGAGAATTTTTGTAAATCGCACTTTTTTCTGTGCTCTACAGTTTAATATCCTGTTTAAAATTTTTTTTTCAAAATATGCACGTGGAAGTGGAATAACAAATAGACACGATTAGAATAGGGTTGAATATTAAATAGATGAGACCATGGATGTAAGGTAAGGAAAGTCATTTCAGAAGTGTACGCATCTTTTGTACTGCAGTGTACTGTCTCTGGGCGCTAATGTAAACACTAGACGGATGTCGAAGCCTGACATGGGATCCATCTTTCACATAAAAAATCAATGAAATATTCTGGTCATAGGAAACTATTATGTGAATTATCAAATTATCAAAATTTAATGCTTTTAACCTCCTCGGATACTAAACGAACATTGATGCATCTATTATTGTTTACAAATTCCGCCCAGAGAGAACTCGTTTCAATATGTACACAGAGTATACACAACCGCAATAAACATTCCTTGATTACACCCTTGGATGAGACGAGAAACGATGGTTTACACATATTCAATTGGATGAAAAAAAAGATGGTTTTTAAATATATATAAATATATGAGAATAGACAAATTAAAGATATGTCGTCAGCAAGTTTTTTCCATCAAAATGAAACCAAAAATAATGCTTCCAAGTTTTATTGTCTGATCTATTTTAAATAAGAAAATAGTTGATTAGATGGACATTGGACATATACAGGGTGTCTCACATCATATCAGATATACAGGGTGTCCCACATCATATCAGATATACAGGGTGTCCAACATTATATCAGATATACAGGGTGTCCCACATCATATCAGATAAACAGGGTGTCCCACATCTTATCAGATATACAGGGTGTCCCACATCATATCAGATATACAGGGTGTCCAACATCATATATTTCTTTACTTTTTTGCTTATATCTGTAATATTATAGGACGAACCCCATGATGATGCCAAAGTTTTTGACAAGATATATTGAGAAGAGAATGATGTAGTTCTAGTGATAGAGAGTAGGGTTGGAATTTGTTTAAAATTGATCTTAAGATATTTAGATGAATGGATAGAAAGATAGAAAAATAGAGAGATAGGAAGAGAGAAAGATAGAAAGATAGAAAGATAGAAAGATAGAAAGATAGAAAGATAGAAAGATAGAAAGATAGAAAGATAGAAAGATAGAAAGATAGAAAGATAGATTGAAAGAAAGATAGAAAGATAGATAGATAGATAGATAGATAGATAGATAGATAGATAGATAGAAAGATAAATACAACTGAATAGTTGAAGCTAAAAGGTGCAGATATTTGACATTGATAGCTTGATAGAAACTTATCAGGCAGGAGAGTTTAGGCGCGGGGGCATTTGAGAACAATTCAAATACATTTGAGGGTTCAGTACAGGGGCTTCTCAGGACTCTTTAGCCCTGACGGGGGGGGGGGCGTAGTTTAAAACTAATTTATATAACAAAAAATGTTTATAATGTTTTTCACTTTTAAGGCTTTTTCAGACTTTTTTTAAGTTTTCGATATCTCTAATTTTCATAAGACATTGCACATTAAACTAGCTCAGTTTAGGCCACAAGCAAATCCACAACATGGCTTTTAAATATAATACCGTTTTACGTTACATCGAGCCAATATTTAGATTTTTAAGGTTAGTCAAAAAACATGATTTTTGCAAGGTTAATATTTCCTTATCCTTATTATTGACTACCCTATAAATTATTATGTTTTACGTAAACTGTGCACTACTTATTACAAACACATATATCTGACAAAAAAAAACCCAGCTAATTTGGGAATTCAAAAACATTTTTGGGATATAATATATTAATTAAAAACTCTCAATTTTCACAAAGTTTTTTTTTTAAGTTTACACAAATTTTTATAATGATTGTTACATAAATACATAGTATTTCTAATACATAAATTACATAAAGTCATACAGTATAAATATACAGGGCTAACACTCATACTTTTTCTGCTGAACAATAAATTCATTTCAACAAAGTCTGTCTGAAAATGATTTAACTGAACAAGAGTTTAACTGAACTTATTTCAACTGAAATAGGCTTCAAAACAAAATCCGCCAAAAAAAATAAGAATTCAGAATCATTTTTGTTAGAAGAACCACATATTCAGAGGATCTGAATCATAATTTGAGTATAGATCAGATTCACATGTTTTCAGAAGGTTAGAATCCTATGTTCAGTAGTTCAGAATCATACATTCATAAGTTCAGAATCAATTGTACAAAAGTTCAGAATCATATGTTCTGAAGTGTTAAATCATATTATTTGTTCGGTAGCTCAGAATGATGAGTTCAGAATTATATGTTCAGTAGTTGAGGATGAGGTTATTAGAATGTTCACCTGAAGTCTACAGGAGTATAATCTGACCCTGAAGAATGTGAATCTTGTCTCGGTGACATTGGTTCATTTTTAACAGGTGAATGTGGACCTGAGGACTGCTGTAACCATTGTGTTATGTGAGGATGGGTCAACCTTAGATCCTGGCCCAGCTGACCCAGGGCACTGAAGGGATCCGTGTTCTGTAACCCAGGGTTCACGGGCATAGGAGGGGGAAACCCAGGTACAGTACTAGAGGTCAGAGAGTACAGATGCCCGTTTTCTTTGAGGGGAGAGGGGTGGTGTAGTTGGAGGGAGGGGTGACGGGGGTGTCCGGGGGGTGAGTGGGAGTGGGGGGAGTCCACTGGAGAGATTTCTTTTGAAGAGTTTGATTGAGGGAGTTGGAGGGAGGAGGGGGAGGAGTTCTCCCGAGGGGAGTTTCCTTGAGATCCCTGCTGTTGCTGTTGGTGTTGTTGTTGTTGATGTTGCTGATATCCCACATCTAGCATCCTACCCAAGCCTAGGAACATTTTTAAATACAGTTGTGTCAACTTTTTATTTATAATCATAAAAAGCTCGAATTATTATTTTATTGTTCTTTTTGGTTTCACACGACTATCAAAGCAATGTTTCGTAGATAATAGAGTACATTTTAAAGAGGCTGTAAGCTTTAGTTCAAGTCACCCTCCGTGCTAGATGACAATGTTAAATTTACAACGGTACGCTTTAAAGCTTTGTCTGATAAAGTATGAATGAGATATCATTGTGTTTGTCTCTTTAAACTGTTTCTTTTTATTTCCGGTTTCTCTGAGAAAGTGACACTTGCGAATTTCTTGCTTACAAGAAGCAATGTTTAAATTATCAGTTCAAAAAATTTGGTTGACTCAGAAAAACGACGGTTTCTTCCACATTTTTGATCAGATAAAGGTTTAAAGGGTACCGTTGTAAATCGGGCATTGTCATCTTTGCATGGAAGGTCACTTGAAATTACTCTTACAGTCCATTTAAACTATTCACAAATATCATGTTAAATGGATAAACAAATTTGATTAAAACCTTCAATGAAAAATTATTTTGATTGGGAAATGAGGGAGAGCCACTGGAATGTTCTTAGCTTGGCTTTCTAAGTTGAGTGGGCCCACTTTTATTGCATACATTTACAGTAAAAATAAACCAAGTGCGGGTAAACGGCAGGAGTAACTATGAGTAACCTGGGCGACGCTGGGTTCTCGGGCTAGTACGTTATAAAAGCAGTGCTCGGAGAATTAGAACTATTGTAGAGACTAGAGAATACTGAATACTCCGGATTACAGATGAAGTGGATGATTAAAGGTTTCGTAAGGATAAAACTTGGATCTCAGGAATTATAAATATTTTTACACACAGAAAGGTTTTTTGAAATTACAGAAGTCAAACTTAACTTTTAGAAATATTGATAGTCAACTGTTTTCAATTTAAATTTTTAAAAAGATTGATTTTGATGAGGTACTTTTAAGATGATTTCGGTCTCATCCGTTTTGACTAAAAATATCATTAAATCAGGTGAAGCTAATGAGAATATAAATAAGGAGAGGGGGAAAGCAGTTGTTTACATTTCTGAATGATTCATATCAAGTTGTAGCCTAAAAATAAGACAAAAAATTTGAAAATTCTGCTTTGTTAAAAAAATCAGTAAATTCTAAAGAAATAGCCTGGATCCGGATCCATTTTCACAAGTGTGGATCCAGCATCCGGATCTGCAGCCAAATTAAATGGATCCTAAGCACTGTGAAATGAGTGGGTTCTCTACTAAAGTGACTTGAAATAAGCATTGAGCAAGTCACTTCAGAAGAGAACCAACGAATGAAAAAACTATTTTTCAAAAACTTAGACCTGGAGATATCTATCTAATACTTATCAGACAAAACTTTACGGTGAACCGTTGTGAATCGGATATGCGACTTGAAAAAATGTACAGTCCGTTTATTTAAAAATACCTTGCGATGTTGAATGTGGGAGAATACTCTGAGGATTGGAAAGATCTCTGTAAGCTGAATTTGTCATGGCTGAGACGGTGAACTGCTGCTGCTGCTGCTGCTGCAGGATGCCCAGATTCATCTGGTTCCTCACCATCAGGTTGTACTCATCTTGGTTGTCATTCCTGAATAACATTTCTATGATTCTTCGACATCTTAATTTTAATGCTTAAACAAATGTTGTGTCTTAATCTCCACTTTTTTCAAAATTCATAAAATCATTGTTCTTTTTTAGTGGTTAAAAAGTGTCAATTGTAGAGTTGCAAAACTTTTGCACCTAACGATGTGCAATAAAATATGCGAAGCCTTGAATAACAAAATTATATATATTATTTGGTGATATTGGGTCTGCTAGAGAATCCAGAATTGATTTCAAGGATATACGAAGTTTGGGAGTCCAAAATTCCAGAAGAAATTCTAAGGCGAAGATTTTTTTTAATGTCTTCTATTGTCAACTAATTTATTTGATTTTATAGAAGGAATTAAAAACTTTTCATTTTTTTCATAGTTTTTCAGCAGTGTTTGCTAGTTTTAGGGCCGTAACTCAGGGGCGTCAGCAATCCTAATTTTATTACAGAATTGATGAACATATTTTTAACACTTAAGTAACAATTTTACTACAAAATGTCAGCTAACTGTATACGAACGAAATTATTAAATATTCGTCCAGGTTCATTAATCAAAACATTCTAAAATTCTTTAAATGTGGAAAAATGATTTATATTTGTGGAATTAATTTAATATTTGTCGTTCCATCATTTTAGTTAAATTCCTCGAAAAGAAGATTAGGAAATTTTACTTTTTATAAGACTTCACTTAGTTCGCTGTCATGCATTGTGGATTTACAAATAGTGATCGTAACATTACTCGTTATTCAAGTTTAATTATAATCGACGACATTGTTCTACAATTTCCTTGACTGTAGTCATGTTGTGTGTCTGTACCAGAAGAGTGTGTGTCAGTTTACTGAACTGGTCTGCAAAGCAGTGCGACTGGCTTTCTCTTGCCGGACCAGCGCCATTTCCTTTCCCTTTATTCCTGTTCCCTGATTGTTGCGTATAATACATCTTTTTAATGATATAACATATGTAGACAATTGATAAGCGCTTTCTCGTCTCAATTACTCAAAAACTAATTTTTTATAAAAGTGACATTCGCAATTCTACTGCAGTAAAACCATGTAGTTGATATTATAATTATCACACTTTTTAAACAAGAAAATCGACTTTATCATCATTAACCAGATATCCAGAGGCGCAACTAGGGGGGGCGGCCGGGCGCGCGCCCTCCCCTAGCACCTGAGAGGGGGGGGGCGCCCCCCCCCCCTGCGGAATGAAAAGAAAGAAAGAATGGCGAAAATCAGTATCACAGGCCGGAATAAGAAAACCAATAGACTTATTGTAGAAATTTTATTATACTATAGTTAGTTTTAAAAAGAATATTTTTATCTTTCTCAATTCTGAAGGCTAAAGGCTATTGTAAACATTTAATGTAAAAAAAAGTTCTGAACTGTATTTTATTTGTGTTGAGTTTATAGAGTACTAGTAGATATCAAACTTTGAATTCTTATGGTAAAATATTCCAAGTTTGAAATATCAAATGTTTACACCACTCGGTGCAAAGATTTAGGGATTAGAATATTTGAGTTTGTGGCAAAAACTCAGTTCCAAATCTAGAGAAAATTCTGAACCTGGCAAATTTCTAACTGATTATCATATTTGATAACTAACAAGATTTATCTTCTTTGACAGAATTTCTGTAAAATCGAAAATGAATTTAGATTATGAATGTTGGTTAGATCAATCATTAATTCAATAACTTCAAGAGAAAAGGTAACATTATCTGTCCTTTTTCAATGTAGATGATTGAAATTATTATTTACCTTTGTATTTTTATGTTTTTTTTCCCCAGAAACTATAAATGGTTATTTCTTGCAATTTAATTTGTAATTAAACCAGGTACTTAAAAAAGACTTTTTTGCGATTCGCACACATATTCAATGAATTGACTCATATCATTCATTATACAGCTGTTGGAAGTATAAATTTTGTAAAAACACAAGAACAAAAAATCGATTTGAATTGAACACAGCCAAATCTGCATGCAACAACTTAAAATTTCCTTTTTTTCGACTTTAAACCCTTAAAAAACCACTTTTGTTTTTGAAAAATTTTCGAAAAAGGGGGGGAAACCCACTCTTAACCCCTAACCCTTAACCAAACCCTAACAAAATAATATATTGCCCCCCCCTAGCAAAAGTCCTAGTTGCGCCTCTGCAGATATCAGGTTTAAAAAAAGGGCCTGTCCATATGCTCAACAAAATCTGAAATGTTAATCCTTTTTTGAAAATTTTATGTTCGATAAGATTTTTCTTATATTAAATTGCCTTAGTCTTAAACGGAAAATATAATGATTGGTTAAAGAATCTCCCGGTATGAATTTTTTTCAGTCCCTTTCAGCCTGAAAGGGAGTTCAAAGTGTACAAATCATCTAAATGTTCACAAATTATATGCAGTAGAGTACATTAATTCAGTATGTTCCCTAGCTACTATTCATTTCAATTTAGAATTTTTTAAACTGTTAAATAAAATTTATAATGAATTAGGTGAATAAAAAACATCATTTGATTTATAGTTAAAACGGAAAATAATCGTTTGTAAAGTGGAAGGCATAGAGTCTATGTGAAATGATCATTGGTCAATTATGAAACCAGCCTTTTTCAGAATTTGGTTTTATTTTAATATTAATTTTAGATTTTCTATAAAATGATATTCCAGGACCCAAAAGGTTAGATAGCATAAATATGTGAAGTACACCTGCAATATGGAAACAGTAAAACAAAATGGCCGTTTTACACTTTTTTCTAGTAAATTCCCCTCTAATATATATTCTATTCTCGATGTAAAAAACCCTTACATACTTGAGATGAACCAAAATAAATGACTATTCTTTAAACTATTACTGGTGTTAACTAATTTTACCTTGCGGGAGATTCGTCCCCAATATGATACCCGTCGTCCGCATCCGGACTATCCGGACCACCCATCCCCTTTCTGTGTATCGTCTCGACTATATCCTTGTTCGTCTGAGACTCATGAGGCTGATCATATTCTAAACCAGAAATAAAGGTCAATTAAGGTCAAGGAAGTATAACAAATTAAACCCAAACGAAGCTATTTAATTTTTAAATATGATTAAACAAAAATGGAAAACTTACATTTTGGGCTTTTTGAGAAAATTTACTTTTTAAAGGGATTGTTTTCTAACTTGGAACACAAGCAAGCATATTTTATCGCTTAAAGATATATGTTCCTAAGCCAAGAATCTTTAGATGCTTATTAGAGGCATTGTGGATTTACAAATAGTGATCGTAACATTCAAACGAGAAAAAATGTCTGAGAGAGTTTTAATCGATGCTTTAAAAAGTGTTTATTTAACAATTAAAGTATCTTTGTTAAAATTAAATATGTATATTACGTAAATTCTTTTAGGATGAAGAATGATCAAGAACATAATTTTTATGACATTTCTGTTCGAAACATTTTTTTTCTATGCTTCCTTTTTGAGATCAAATTGGAAGTTGAAAGAAAGTTTGAAGTTTGCTGTTTTGCAACAGTTGTGTGCAAACAGCTTTCATGAATTCTGAAAGTTCTTTTTAATCAATTATTTCTCTGTTTGCTCGAGTGCATTTTGTATAAAAGTACAAATTTTTTGTTTGGTAATTTTGGTTTCAAAGATTTATACAAATGTAACAGTTTTCAATGTAATTCGGACATGTTTTGGCCTTAGTTATAGCTTTAACTCTTTATTTCAGCAAAGAGGTTTTTTTTATCAAAAAACTTACATCATGCTAGGGAAAAACAAACGATGAAGACAGATTGGAAAAGGAGAAAAAAGATAAAATTTGAAATTATTAGCCGTACCTTTTTATTTTATAAAAAATTTTTAAAAAAATTTAAAAAACTGTTAAAAAAAAAGAATGAGGACAATTTGAGGTCTGGGCCTTTTCCCGGTTCAGGAAATCAGCCTTCCTTTATTTTACACTCGAGCAAAATTTGTAAATTATGGAAAACAAAATTTAAATGCTTGTTTTATGATGCATAATGAAAAATGGTCGCAGGGAGAGCAATAATTTCAGAAAAAGGAGCTTTCCAATAAACATGGGAATTAAGTGACGATTTAAAAATCGGCTTTGTAAAAGTTTTTTTTAGATTAAGTATGGTGATGCTACATCAGAAAGCTGTAATCTGTAGATGTTTCGTCTGCTAGGGGTAAGAAATTGTTTTTTTTAATGTTTTTATTGCTATACTTGGTAAATTAATAAATTCTTGTATACAAACACAGTACAGTTGTTTTCTTTCACTGTTTATCTTGCAGACATGTTTCATGACATCATACAACAAAACAGTTTTTTACCGTTTACATAAAATTTATTTAAAGCAGACGTAACTTTATTTAAATCACAGAAATTAGGTAATACACGATAATACGATTTTGTATTCGTATCTTTATTCCCATGTTTATTGGGACACCCTGTAAGTATAAATATAGATATATATGTTGGTTTACTAATTAGCATTATACAAGGCCCTCAATTTGTAATGAGTTGGTTGAGCTCTTTGGTCCCTATTTCATAACCAAATCATTAGGGTTTGATAGAGCAGTGGTTGGCGTGTTTGATCCATAATCTAAGGATTCATGGTTCAAGCCCCGTCAGCTGCTAAAATCAACTACTGATAAAAAATTCAGCCATACTGATGAGTCCTTATAGGACGAAACACTGTCTTTGGATAATATACAGGCAATATCTGTTCCACAGAAATAAAAATGTTTCTACAACTTTCAGCATCCAAATATATATACGTACAGTTTATTTATTAAATGTTGTCAAACTGACAACGTGAGATTGCAGTAATTATTAGGATTTGACATGGTCATGTCACAAAACAAATTATGTAACGTGTCCTTGAGAAGGATATTATACATGTCGATGTACATTAAACTAATTTTTTACCTGTGTACTTCAGAAGGGTATTAAGTACATGTATGTACATAAAACTAATTATGTAACTGTGTACTTGAGAAGGATATTGTACATGTCTGTACATAAAACAAATTATGTCCCTGTGTACATAAACTAATTATGTACCTGTGTATTTAAGAAGGACCTTGTACAATGTGCATGTCTGTACATAGGAATAATTATTTACCTGTGTACTTAAGAAGGACCTTGTCCATGTCTGTGCTGGCGTACTGGAAGAGTTTGTTGCTGGAGTTGAAGATGATTACAGCTATCTCACAATCACACAGTACACTGAGCTCATAGGCCTGGACCAACATTTGGTGTCATTTTTACACTTGTTTGAGGGAGGGTGGGGATTCTGTAAAATTGAGAAGGAGGGGGAGGGGGAATTCTGTAAAATTGAGAAGGAGGAGGAGGGGGATTCAGTAAAATAGAGAAGAAGGGGGGGAAAATTTACTTTTTAAAGGGATTGTTTTCTAACTTGGAACACAAGCAAGCATATTTTATCGCTTAAAGATATATGTTCCTAAGCCAAGAATCTTTGGTTGATCACCTTTACAGAAACTGAGTTTTTACACAAACTCAGATATTTAAAACCCTATATCTTTACAACCTCATGTCGTAGACCTTTGATATTTCAAACTATTAATTCTGTTAAATCAAATAACAAATCTAACTTTGAATTATTAAAGGTTTACACAATTCAGGTTGCAAAGGTTGGGAAAGTTAATTTCGATTTTTTCTAAAATATGGTTTACTGTCTTTAGATTAAAATTAAAAATGCTGAGTGCAGGCTTGTGTTTTTTCTTGCTAAACTTCAATTATTGGTCAAACAATGAACGAATATTTTCTTTTTAATTCTTTGAATTTAAAAGGGAAAAAATTCTTTTATCAAGAAAATGAATCCGTAGTTTTCTTGAATAGAAACATAAAAATAGAATTTTCAAAAATTAAATTTTAGACAAGTTTAGATAAAAACATAAAAAAGGTTAAATTTTGACGCCAAACTTTCCTTCTTCATGAGTCCAAATTTCCGTTTTGTGAACGTGACTTGTCTGTTTCTCTCGTCTGTTATCCGTTGAATAGAAATTTTTTTTCGTCCCATTTTTATGCTTTTCTATGCGTACGCAATTTAGTGTCTTGTTGACGCCCAAATCTGAAAAAGAAAATTATATCTTTTTGTAGTACATTTTTGATCTAATTGAATTTTCTACAGGTTTGCAAAAAAAAAACAAAATAAATATTATTTTAAAGTGTAAAATTTTAACGTAAAGTATTCTCGGAAAAATCAGCAGGAAAATAAGTATTTTTTCTTTCCATAGGATAAAAACAAATAGTAATAAAACATGTATTTAGATAAAATAATAAAAAACTTCTGAAGGTTGAAGGATGCTTCTCAATTCTAAGGAAAATAATATATTAATATGAATTTTACTTTGATATTAAAGAATTTAGGCATTTTTTCCCTTCATTGGATTCTTGAAATTCCCTAACATTTTAAAAGTTCAAATTTTTTGATAAAATATCTTAAGTGCATTAAAGTCTACTTGTCATTTTAGGTAATGTTACATCGTCTATACGCAACATCCCCCCTACTGAACTTCTGACCTACTAACTTACCGACCTACTGCAAAGTCGGACCTACGCTAGCTGTTTATTGTTGTATTATTTGAGTGTTAGGTTAGGTTAAGTTAAGACAATTTCTGGGCATAGCGCTGCGGCTAGGACAGGCTAGGGGGGCGAGCGCCGCGGCTAGGACAGGCTAGGGGACCGGGCGCTGCGGCCAGAGCTGTAAAACCACGTGCTAGTAGGTCAGAAGTGAAGTATAGCGGATTTGCGTAGGTCGAAAAATACACCACCGTCATTTTATGCTATACTATGCCAAGCCCCAATTTTCTTTCGGTGAGTGTACTGCAGATTACTGCAGTACGCACAGAAAGCATAATTTAGGGTGAAGAGACTTCTATTCTTTATTTCTTGTAATATAATCATAATGGGATAAAAAGCTTTAGTCTAAACTATTTATTTGATTAATTTAAATTACTTTTTCTTTAACTAAGAAATGTTTCACTTCAGGCGAAATATCTTTCGTTTTCTTTTTTAACATTTGAATCAACTTATCTCTCAAACCTAATCCATAAAGATTATTGTGTACAACATTCTTTGAATACTAGCTCCATAAGTACATTAAAATTATAACCAAATATAAATCAACCTCTAATGATTCATTTAATATTCACGTTAGACTTAACTGCGTGGTATTCTTTGATTTGAATTTTGCACAAGACGCTTTTAATATTTATTTTTATTTCGTTACTTTTTTCACAAACTCTAAGTTAATAACTAGATATATACAATAGATACATAATTAAACGTTATAAACTTGAAGTGATATATGTGATATATGAACAGAAACTAAACCTTATCTAACTTGACAAAAATAAATTAAAATCCTAGAACTTGTTCTTACATCTTATCTTTTTATGTATACATATATGAGGGCATATAAATATACTTATATATATATATTATAGTATTTATATATCGCACTACTTGTAACTAAATCATGATCCAACAACAGTTTTCAAAAATATATTTTGAAAAAAATAATCTTAAAAGTTTGTGACTTTTGTTAAAAGTGAACATATTAAATCAGAAATTCAATTAGATATTGAACCATTTATACTCTGACGTGTTGTGAATTTTTTTGATTATTTTTTTTCATAAAAATGAATTTGTGAAAAATAATATTCCTGTATTTGCGTCAATATATATCCAACGTAAATATAACTCTCCATACAGAATTTAAGATAATGGAAACTTCTGATAAACAATTTTATTTAATAATTTGATAAAATCATATTTCCGCTTAAATAATTCCATCAACAAAAATTTGAGGCTAATGTATTTTCAATAAAATAATAATAGAGGGCTATTCATAATGATTAATTTTTCGACCAACGCACATCTGCTATACTACATTTCTGACCTACTCGCTCGTGATAAGTTGGACACGTGGCTACAGCGCCCTGCCCCTAGCCTGTTCTAGCCGCAGCGCTCTATTCAAAAATTATTAACAGCTTTCGTAAGACGGAAAGTTTGTTGATCAGAAGTTGAGTAGAGAGGATGTCGCGTGTACACAATGTAGACTAGACAATGACAACTGTACAATGTACTAAAGTACAATTTTATCCTTTAAGCTGTGTCGGTTAAGATTTTGCTAGATTGTAGCCGTAATAATAATAATAAAAGATATACAGTTTTTAGAAAATAAAAAATGATATGATTATGAAATGATGTTGTTTACGACAAAGTGAGCAATATATTTTAACAAATGAAAAATCAAATCGGAGATTTTAAGGATTTTTAAATAAAGTTTTTAAAGGAACTGAAGCAGTGCACAATGGATAAGGTTACAATGGGTTGAGGAAGGAAATCTAATGATAGGTAAGAACTCCATATGGTACCCTAGTACCCCCCTGCAGACCCAACACAAACTAAACTTTAGAAGAAGATCTACAGATCTGATAATATTCATTCATTCACTCGTTCTAACACACTCATAATAAATTCATCCTAACACATTAATAATGAATTAATTTACTAATTTAAACACATTCATAATAATTTATTTACTTATCTAAACACATTCATTAATACATTTATTAACTTATTTCAACACATATTCATAATAAATTTATTTACTTATTTAAACACATTCATAATAAATCAATTTACTCATTCAAACACACTCAACATTCATAATAGATTTTTTTATTTATTTAAACACATTCATAATACGTTAATTTACTCATATAAACACATTCACAATGAATTCATTTGCTTATTGATACACATTCATAATACATTAATTTACTTATTGATACACATTCATAATACGTTAATTTACTCATATAAACACATTCACAATGAATTCATTTACTTATTGATACACATTCATAATACATTAATTTACTTATTGATACACATTCATAATACGTTAATTTACTCAATTCACAATGAATTCATTTACTTATTGATACACATTCATAATACATTAATTTACTTATTGATACACATTCATAATAAATTCATATACTTAGTGATACACATTCATAACACATTAATTTACTCATATAAACACATTCACAATAAATTCATTTACTTATTGAAACACATTCATAGTACATTAATTTACTCATATAAACACATTCATAATAAATTCATTTACTTATTGATACACATTCATAATACATTAATTTACTCATATAAACACATTCACAATAAATTCATTTGCTTATTGAAACACATTCATTTACTCGATCATTTATAATGAATTCATTTACTTATACAAACACATTCATCAAAAATTCATTTGAATTAATTCATTCAAACAAATTCACAATAAATTCATTTCCTCATTCATCCTAATTCATAATAAATTCATTCACTCATTCAAAAAAGTTCATCATATATTCATTAACTCATTCAAACAAATAAATTCAATAAATTTTTCATTCACAGATATGTATGATCAATGAAGAATAAAGAATGAAGTATGGAGAATGAAGGTTGAAGAATTTAGATCAAACTATGATTTGTGAAGATTAAAGAATAAAGGATGAAGATAGATTTGTGAAGGATAAAGAATGTAGAACTAAGTATGATCTGTGAAGGATAAAGAATGTAGAACTAAGTAGGATCTGTGAAGGATAAAGATTGAAGTATAATCTATAAGGGAGGAAGGATGAAGTACAATATATGTGAAGGATGAAGGATATAGTAAGTAATGTAAAGGATTAAGGATGAAGAATGTAGTAAGATTTGTGTGAAGGATGTAGTAAGATAAGTAAAGGGTTGAAGGATGAAAGATGAAGGATTAAGTATGATCTATAACCTCCAATCTGAAGAACTGAATGAAGAGTAGAAGAGATTTACCAAACTTTGCTCTCTCAGTCACTCTCTATTTTGCTGTCTTTCTAACTCACATCTATCTATCTATCTATCTATCTATCTATCTATCTATCGATCAATCAATCAATCAATCAATCAATCAATCAATCAATCAATCAATCTATATATCTATATATCTATCTATCTTTCTATCTATCTATCTATCTATCTATCGATAGATCGATCAATCAATCAATCAATCTATCTGTCTATCTATCTATCTATTTGGAATTTTTCACTTGCTTGATTTGATTAACCCTGGCTATCCTGGGTTTGGAAAGATGGTGAGGGGGGGGGGGCAAAAATAAGTAATTCATGATTTAGTCAACCATGTTTTCTTCAACAAAACCTCTAATATTTTCTCTTTACATCTTTTTCTTACATCTTACCTCTTCGCAAAAACATATATGTAAATTGACCAAACGGCTGAACCAAATTGGATGTCCCTTTTTGAGGGAACCCATGGGTACCAAATGGATGCCATACAGTTTTCTAAAGAGACTTGAGAGTCCAACAACCAACGCAAGAAATATGATGAACAAAAAAAATATGATTCATGAGTATTATTGATTCATAATTACTCTTTTAATAACCAAAATGAGAAAATTATAATTTATTTTATTCAATAGTATACCTGAGTAATATTAATTTTTAAATCAGAATTCAACACTTTTTCTTTTTCCTATAATCACTATTATAACTGGTTTTATATAATTATCAATTATCAATAATAATAATAATAATGATACTGGAGGTGTATGACCGGAGAACCAGGTTAGGACTGACCAACTTAGCGCAACAGGAGTTCATTTTCAGAGCAATCCCCCCCCCTCTAGATAGCCGGGGGCCACTCCCACCCCCTTGATGGGACAAGGACCGCCCCGCCCCCTGGAAGGGTTGAGGGGCCCATCGGGTTTTAGGGATTTTGATCTGTATCGGGTATAGAAGAGAGTATAGGGCGCAGGACAGGTAAATATCAGATTTCTTTAAACAGAGCTTCAACAATTTTTAACATTAAATTAAAAATCATCTTTGGAACTGTTATTTTGCAAAGTGGAGCAAAGTTGTTGAAAACAAAAATTTATTTTTATTTAAAAGATATGATTGGTGTTTTCTCTACCCTTTTAACCTTTTTCTTAAAGAAATATGCCACAGGCTCTAGTTTGGAGGGACAAGAAGGGTTAAGAGCCAGGCTCATATTTTTTCCTCAATTTATAATTTTGAATTGAGCTCATGAGTACGACTCAATATGTGGTACTTAAATATATTATCTAATTATCACATCGTGTGCGAAATTCAGCGTTTAAGAAAATTTCGTACGGATTATGATTTGTTCTTAAACAAATTGATTCCCAACCATAATTTCCTTACATTTAACGATTCCAGATTCTGATTTTAAACAAGGAATTAAATATAAGACATCTTCTTCTTCTTCTTCTTCTTCTTCTTCTTCTTCTTCTTCTTCTTCTTCTTCTTCTTCTTCTTCTTCTTCTTCTTCTTCTTCTTTTATGCACACTGTTGTCCTTTATAGTAAAATCATATATGTTCATTTAGCCCACTTTACACTTTACATTGTACAATCTATCATACAGTTTTCTTGATTTTTTAAACATGTATGTCTGTAGTAAACACCTAATCCATAACAAGTTCTCGAAACGTATCTATCTAGGTCCAACCCGACCGATATCCAAGTCAACCAGGACACAACCAACCTGGCTCTAAATGCCACACAGGGACACAAGCGTAGCTATCCAACAAGCTATTATCAACCAAGACACAACTCACCTGGCTCTAAATGCCACACAGGGACACAAGCGTAGTTATACAACAAGCTATCAATTCAGTGCTCTAAATGCCACACAGGGACATAAGCCTAGCTTTTCAACAAGCTATATATCGATCCCAATTGATGGGGACAATCCGACCAGGTTTCATCAACACAGGGTTTCAATCCCCTCTAAATGCCACACAATGACACACGCCTATAGCTATCAACAAGCTGTATATATCAATTCCAAATGATGATGATGATCAGACCTGTGTTATCCAAACAAGATTTCAGGATTGCTCTCTCGCAGTAAACAGTACGGAGTTAATATCAAAACTGAGGTTTATTTCTTTAGTTCAGATTATAATTGGGTCACAGCGTAATTAAAAGTTATTCGCTGTTATTAATAACGAAGTTAAACAATCACAATATTTCGTATGACGGAGTTATTTTATTTTTATTTTCTCCTACGCACAGATTATACACTTATTCTTTTCTTTCTTTCTTTATCTCGCTTTTTCTTTATTTTCTCCTCTCTACTTTTTTTTCTTATCTTTTTCTCTCTTCTTATCTCTTTTTTCTCATCTTTTTCTCCCTTTTTCTCTATTTTTTCTCATCTTTTCTCATCTTTCCTCTCTTCTTCTCTATTTTTTCTCATCTTTTCTCTCTTCTTCTCTCTTTTTTCTCATTTTTCTTCTTTCGTTTTCTCTCTTTTTTCTCATCTTTTCTCTCTTCTTTTCTCTTATTTCTCATCTTTTTCTCCCTTTTTCTCTCTTTTTTCTCTTTTATTCTCTCCTTTTCTCTTTTTTCTCTCTTTTATTCTCTCATTTTCTCTCCTCTATTTTTCTCATAACATTTATTTCTTCTCTTTTTCTCTCTTTTTCTTATTTTCTCCTAGCTCTTCATTTTTTGGTTTAATGAATGAAAGTACTGGAATAGACTGTAGAGTGTAGAGTGAAAGAAATGTGTGCAAGTTTAACAGGTTTCAAAGAAAAGACAACAAAGCACTTTTAGACCTATTCACACAAATCTGATAGCAGTCTTTTTATTCACAATAGGTTAACCTTACCATGGCGGGGTGGGGGTGGGTCTCCTTTTTCTTCAGATAACGGGGGTGCAATTTATTACAAAAGGCAAACGGGAGGTTAGGGATTAGGGAGTAGATATTAAATAACTAGAACATTTTTTTCTTGAAAACATTTCCAGGGTAAACTTTTCTTTTTCCATTAACACAAAAATAGTCGTACGCTAAATTCACAAATACAAAAATATATGTCAATTGGTTCAAATTAATATAACTAAAAAAAAATTGTCAAGCTGACACCCAATGATAATCTTGTTAACCCTATACAATCCCATCACATTAACCCCGCCCCCCCCTCTTCTTAGCTAAACAATTATAAGATATAACCAGTAGATACACCCTCCCCTCTTCCGTAACCTTAACCCTACCAACCCTACCTGGTTAGGTTTGCCCCAAGGGCAGACCCCTCCCTCCCCCCCCATCAATATCCCAACCATCATCTCATACCTTGAAACTAGCAACTTGAAAAACAAAGAAAATACTTGAATATTATCATAATATGCGTTAAGTACAGAGTGTCCGGCATATTGTTAAATAAAGTATATTTTAAAGACGAACTGTTCTTTTAAAATATGCATCAAAGGGGCGGCTTCAGATATTTTCCAGGCTAGGGGGGGAGGGTGCCAGGGGTGCAAGTTCAATTAAAAAAAAAATTTCCACATGCAAAAAATCCACCCCACCCTGGAATTTTATACTTGGAATTTGGTAATTTTTATTTCAAAACCATGAGAAGCTGGGGGATGAGGGGGGGGGTGGAATGTGTTACAAAATTTTGTATTTTTATATATTTAAAAAAATACATTTTAGTGATTTTTGAATTTATTCTTGAAAATAAAAATTAAAAAGCTAGAAGGGCTTGCTCGTCCCTTTAAGTTTTTAGTTGAATAAATAAGATGAAATATGAAATATACAAACTTTCACCAACTATTGAGCTTTCAGTGTTTATTTTTCGATTATCACTGTTTTTAAGAAATGCAGAAATACAATGTGAACAATCTTTTATGTATACTTTCAAAGAACAATTATTTTTAAGAAGATTGATTTGGAAATAAATAAGATTTTTAATAAGAATAAAATTGCATTTTAAACTAATATTTTATCTGACATATTTCTTTTTCGTAATTTTTTTTGAAATCCACCCATCATGTTCTTCTCTTTTTCACGTGTTTTTAATCAATAGAAAGAATGTGCGCAGTTATAAAAATGTATTAAGAAAATTCTTGTTTTCTGTATAAATACCTACCCAACCAAAATGCACAGACATTTTTTATAAATAAAATTTTTTGTCTCTATTAACGCAAAAGCGTCAAAATGGCGAACGGAGATCGTTACGGGAATCGCGCTATTTGCTTAAAAGTCCCTATTTTAAATCATAATCGTTGAGTTAAACACAATGGTTTTTTAAGGTTTTCTAAAAACTTGAAAATATAAAATTACTCTTAATTACTCTGTTTTATTAGGCTACTTGGTAACTAACCACGTTATGTAAATTGATGATAACAATGTATTATGATTTTTAAAAATAGTAATAGTCGACATTTTTTTTCAAGGAACAACTTTTCAATTTAGACCAGCCATAAACCTTCCCTGGGGTAAAAGTAAATCAGCCGTTGACGTTTATTGGATACAGGTATCTAGGCATGTATATATGTATATATATCTACCTAACGCTGCCGAGTATAGTGCTTAAAACACAAAGCAGTTTGTACAGCCTCAAGTAAACATTATTACTCATCTGATAGAAGTATCTATTTAGTATATATAGATATAAACAGACATACGTACTAGAGATGTCAACGTTTTGATTTTTCTAGATTTTAGCTTTCGTTACGATAGTGTTCATCAAAAGTATTAACGTTTGAAACGTTACGTTGCACATTACGAAATTTTATGGCATAGAGTAACGTTACGTAATGAATTTTCTGCACTTGGATATCTTATACAACGTTAAGCTTTAGTAAATGTTAGTGAAAAAATAGTAAGCTCCGTTACGCTTTTGCATTTCCCGTTTTAAAAAATTTTCCCAACGTTGCATTAAAGCTTATGTAATAAGCCCACAATTTTTTAATGTTCCACTTTCATGCAAGGTGAATATTTTCAGAGACCTTACGTTACACTTTCACTTGGTTTAAGATCTAAAAGATGACAAACGTTTTGCTTTAATAAAACGTCATTGGGGCATAGTTCTTTACGTTACAATGCATTTCAGTGCAAAGAATATTTTTTGTTAACGTTACGTTTTATCTTAACTTTTCCAATATAAACTCTTTTAATTACGTTTAGAAATTTTACTAAAATGCACCTTTTCTTACGTTACGATTTATCGAAACGTTATTGTGAAAACGTTTTGTTACACTTTTTTACAACTGACAATCAAAACTGTTTATTTGTTTCGTTTTTAAGAAAGATTTGAAAAAAATGTTCTATACGTTGCGTTGTATTAAAATGTTCAAGCCTTAATGTTTCTTACGTTACACTTTATTAAAATAATATTGTTTCTAAATGAAAGCATTGCAAGATTTTTTCCGTGATAATTACATTTTTTTACTAACCCTTTATATTGCTGTTGTATTGTTAACCTTTTTTAGAGAATGTGTAGAAGAATATGCATTATGCAATATAAAGATGTTATAATATTATTATTTTTAACGATTGTTAAAATTTGTAAATGAAAGTTTTTAGCATTACACTTTTAACTCAAAGTGTGTCTTTAAGTGACTAGAGACGTAATTACAAGTGACCTTCCATTTATGGGGTGGCATGTCCAGTAGGGGTGATCAATATTGGAATAGAGCCAACCGCCCACCGGAAGTGCTGCGTTTTCACCGTAAGGCCACAAAAAAAAATTTATTTTTATTTTCATGTTATACATAGTTTTCTTGGAAATTCAATG